TTACCGGATACGTAGGTAGAATGGGCGTACTGGATCTGGATTTAGAAGGGAATTGTTTGATATTGATGTGTATCTTGCTAGGTACAAATCTTAAACGCGAAAATGACATTTGGTTGGGATGATTGATGTGGTATGGTATAGTACGGGTATAAGAGGGGAGGGGAGAGCGGACGGGAGAGGAGTAGAAAGTGGGGTGTTTGATATTTCGACGGTGGATATTGATAGAGGTGACGGCGGCTGTGTGTTTGTCGGGGGAACTTCGGATGTGCTGTGTAAGAAAAGGTGAGAGGATGAGAAGTTCGCTTCGGAAAGGAGAATTGAAGGGGGGTGGAAGGGGGTGGTCAATAACTTTATTTTTTTATGGTCACTTTTATACTCTATGTAAAAATGCCGATGTACCGTTATACTAATCAATTGTTTTCTAGGTATGGTTAGGAGCTTTCCGTAAAGCAATAATCACAATTGACTACATTATTATATACTCGAGTACTTTATTCTTGTTTAGAATCTTGATCATTGTATCAATTAATCAATATACTAGGACTTTGATCATAACTGTTTATATATTCATCATTCCCAAAACGACCTTCAAAAACACTCCCAAATCATCTTTAAAAGCATTACCCCCCAAAAGCAAATCACAAAAGCTACATTATTTCGTATTTCGCAATATAAAACAAGCTAAATTATCAAATTACGCTTTATACAACTACATTATACCCAATCCTAGAAGTTCAACTTCTAAATTCTAGGGAATCCCTAATTAACCATACGACAAGACAAAGCTGTAGTAATGACGCACAGAAAGTCTGAAATAAATACCTCCACCCAAAATGCGAGTCCGGTGACGACGTTCGCCAATCCTCAATTAGCAAAAAATTGCACACCTAGAGCAAAATATGGTTAAGGATTCTGGTGGACTGTATTTTGCTGGGTAATGCCATTGATCATTTCTGAGTCTGGAGATTTTTATCATCGATAATTGTATTTGGCGTCATTTTTTTCTTAAACTTATCTTACTTACTCATCTCGTATTCCACTGATTCACTTGATGATCTGGGAAGTTTTGAAACCTCAGATTGAAAATGGAGAATAGATGCAGACGATACGTGCAGTGGTTAGATATTGTATATATATATAATGTTTATACGCGATTCGCGAATAACTACAAATTTATACAAATTTATACAAATTTGTAGTTACTCAGAAGCATCTCCAACAAAATCGCGGCACAAAGTATCAGTACCCTCACTTCACCTCAGTATTCCATCTTCAGACCACTTCAAATAAAAGAAATTCGATTTTAACTTATATCCCATCTAAGCACGCTACCTCAGGATCGAATTTAAACCAAGCTATCCCTATCTACCTTAGGTATCAACAAATAGTCATAAGTGACGCCATTACCATGGTCCAAAACTCTATTTCGAACCATAACTTAATTTAGACAGATAACGGTGAAATTTTCAAGTCTAGTCTAGTCTATCTAGTCTTGACTCTTGGGCCATTTCCCAGTACTAGTACATATAACCGGGACTCGGAGAGAAACCTATCCCCAGTAATAATCATTGTAAAGGGTACTTGGGATATCCATCTCTGTGTGATACGGCTAGCTCTCTGAATCATATTCACTATTGGTACTAATTTTCAAGTTTAATCCATCCAAGATACTAAGCTGGTAGCCTGGTACCTAGCCGTACGGTCCGTAGCCAACCAACCACCTAGTGAATTGAAAACTAGCGCCGGCTATACCATCGATCGAAATTTTTTGCTCGTAAGATCTCGCACAAACTGACCCACGAAGTTTATTCTCTCCTACTTATGTACACGACATCTGCAAGTATCTTCACGGCATCCAAAATCATTCACAAACAATTTTTGATCATTCAAGATTCCTGTGCAAACCGATTGTACATTTCGTATCCATTTGCTTGATACTTTCCCATACCATACCATCATTGTCTCGAGAACTTCGTCTCAAAAACGTTCATCTAGGTAAATTGAGCAACAACATATCACAATCAGCTGTCAAAACAGCGCAATAAATCACTTCCTTTTGCCCAGTCGCCAATATCTCTCTCGACATGGCACCTAACAACAATTCCTCCTCTTCGCCATCTGACCAAGCGCTCGAGACGACAATGGTCAGTGGTTCCTCTTCGTCGCCTACTTCAGCGGACATGGATTTCCAATTGGCTGCTCTCCCAGAGAGTAGAAAGCGCTCGCACAATACCGATTCGGATGCTCATCTCGACGAAGAGCGACAAGCTCAACGAGTTAGAATTGGCGAATCTACCTCCTCTGTTCAGAATGATAAGCCAGAGGGCGTCGTAGCCTCTTCAGCTGTTCGACGTCCAATGGCGGTTCTTCGTGGTAGCCGAAGACGGCAACTTGGTCGTAGCCAAACTATGCACCGTCAAGAGCAAGAGCGTATTTCAAACACTTTTGCCAGAATGAGTGCTCCAACTCCAACGGCTCCAGCTATCTCGCTTGCTGAAGCCAGCCATGCAGACAAACCAGCTGCCACCCCCTCAATAACCGAGCCTACTTCGCGAAAGCGTTCATATGAAGACCATGATTCCGGTTACGAGGCAAGCGAAGATGAGCGTCCATCCAAGATCAGACGTAAACGCGATGCTTTATCTCCTGCTCGCAATTCCACATCACGCTCATATATTAGAGCTGCTGCTGCATTTCGCTCTCGTGGTGCTAGATACAGGTTCCCCATTCATTCCATGAGAATGGGAATGAGATTGAATTCTCGGATTCCACGTGAGGTTGAGAGTGAGATTCTCGCCACATCAAACGTGGACTCAGAGGCAGAACAATCGCCAGCTCCAAGTGAGCCTTCTCCAGATGAAGCATACAATCAGCCACTCCACTCTGCTCGAAACGATGAGCCCAATGCAGGTTCAGTATTCGTCGATCTCACTCTCCTCACCGACACTGAAGCAGAGGAAAAGCCGGAGGATTTGACTGTCGGCCAGGAAAATGCCTCTGACGAAGCGGAAGAGCTCTACGAATCGAGTCCAGTTGTGCAAGACACCGGTCGTCGCATCAGAGAAACATTCATCGATATCACTCTCCTCACCGACACCGAAGCAGAGGAACAGTTGGAGGATTTGAATGACGGCCAGGAAAATGCCTTTGACGAAACGGAAGAGCTCCACGAATCGGGTCCACTCTTGCAAGTCACTGGTCGTCCCACCAGAGAGACATCAGAGGTGGATGAGAGCGAGTTCTACGACTACCAATACTCTGTGACCTCACCATTTTCCAGGTCATCATCCAGATCACCATCCAGATCACCATCCAGATCACCAAGTCCTAGAGTTAGCACGCCGGATTCTAATCGGCCGACGTCGCCACAGATACCCGACTCGGACGATGAAGCAGCCTTAATAAGGCGCCAGTATTCGCCAGTAAAGGTCTTCGATGGTTCGTCATCCTCCAGCTCCGACTTCAGCCCTTCATATAGCCGTCGTGAATCCCCTGCTCCAATGGGCGAGCAAAGGCTTCGACCCTTTCATCCGGAGCCTACCGCCGAGTTTCACAGATTGCTGCATCGTGTTGAGACCGAGAGAATGTACTATCTTCAACACACTCGCGACCACGCGAGCGAAGATCTGGAAGGTGTCTACTTGATCGTTGGAACCCAGGGAAGTTTGTACACGGTGACCATGGCAAAGGTGCCTCGATGTAATTGTCAGATTGAGCGGGATCCCACATTCTGCGCACACATCGTTTTCGTAAGTTTCATGTTTTTTGTTCCCAAATTCATGATTAGTGATGACTAATTGTTTCGCTTGTAGATTCTCGTGAAAGTCTTGCGGCTGGAAGCACCACTTCGTCACCAAGCCGCTTTCCTTTCCACTGAGTTAGATCAAATGCTCAATGTCGGGATCGTTCAAGAGTACTGCGAACGCAGGCCCGTCGATATCCAAGAAACTTGTTACATCTGTCGGGATGACCTAAACGCCGATGACAATATCCTAACGTGGTGTAAAAACCAATGTGGAACCAATTTTCATCGACATTGCATGCTTCACTGGGCGGCAACAAATTGGCAAGCCGAACGCGATGTCACATGTGGAAATTGCCGCGCGTCGTGGGAATTCACCGGCGAGGAACTGTTGGAGGCGATTCGAATCGGCGAAAACGAAACCACACACACCATCGGTGGGTATGCCAATGTCGCATCCATTTTAGGGATGGAAGAACCGCAGCTAGATGAAGTAGAAGAACAAGAATACCGACGATTTATACAAGAGGCCGGTGGCTTCAGATTACGGTTGGAACCCCCAGCGCCTCATGAAATTGAAGACCGAGAGGACTGGGAGATCACATCCGAGGAAGATATATCCGACGACGATGACGACGGAAATCCCGACGATCGTGCTATCGAGGCTATAGTGAGACGGCCTGCTGACTCCATGGCCGAGGTAGAAGCTTATATCAACCGTTACCATCCTGGGGAAGTGGATGCTCTTCGTCGGGCAGTGAGTCCTACACGTGGGCATGCGGAGAGACGAATGGGGTTTCTAAGAGCAGAAGTCGGCAGGTTGTTGCGGGAATTGCAACGGGAGGCGCATCAATGAGTGCTCTCTTTCTCTGAGTCGCCTGCTAGGAGTATCAATTTTTCAAAGTCCTCTCTGCCATCTCACCAACTCTTTGACGTTTGATTTTATTCCCAACACCACTCGATTCATACCATACCAACTTCGAATACGAAGATGCCAACACAATCTCTTCTTGTATACTGACTGATTGGCATCGAAATTTCCTCGAAACTCCACTCATCTTCAAATCTATCGCAGCATTCTGAATTATGCGTCCAACGCTTCAAGTCTCGGCAGATATCATAAATATGGAGTCATACCAGCCTCCAATTATACACACAGCATGAGGATACCAACTTGTTAACTCAAATCAGAAAATGAAGAAGACACAACATCAAAATACCTCAATCGACCACCCTTCCACTTCTTCATTGTGGCTCGGTCGGCTGAACAGATCCGCCGCCATTCGTGCATCGTCCCTCATCATCACACACCCATACTGGATATTTCATTCAAACCAAATCTTCCACTCATGCCAAATCTTTCTACCAATAGCTTCGACGATACCAGTCCAAAACATAACAGGCTTTCAATAATGAGGAGCAGAACAAACCAGCTCCCAATGTTTCCTCCCAGACTGTACTAGTTACAATAACCAGACCAGACAGAAGTTTCTTAGAATCGAGAACCATCCCTACTCGGTTGTCGCGAACTCAAAATACCGTCAGCGACCCATTTGCCTTGCTGCTACGAAAGACAAAATCTGCTACGTTAACACACAATTGTCGAAGTCAACCACAACCTCCTAATCACCTTTATCTATCCTGGTTCTCGAAGATTTCAAAAATGATCTCTATCAATCAAGTTGCAAAATGAGATACCAATCGTCTGATCATGGGTATGTCTCCTATCCCTTCCTGCGATTTGTGACAATACTGACACGTCATGCTAGATGATTATGTTTGGTCAGGGTTACTACTACTCAGTCGAAACAGTCACTCTTCTGGTTGCTTTGAAAACAAGATACCCTCAACGAATCACCAATTTCAATGCTGAAAGGCTTCGAAATAGCCACCCAAGAATTCCAAATCATTGATGACATCCCCTTTTATCGACCAATCTGGATTGGCCACCCAAACAAGATACTTACTGGACCAGCGTATGATGCAGTCCCAAACACTTCATATACATTTTGTACGAAGGGTTCTCTTGGGGGGACGCCCCCAATAAGAATCTTTCTGCAGATTTTACAACACTCGAGTTCGCCGTCGAAATCGAAGACAACAGTTCAAGCTCTCTCTAAAATACCTTAGCTGCTTCCTCAATGGACATCTTAAAGACAGCATCGAGAAACTCAACGGGCGTCCGAATTCAGCACGCTGCTCTCTCTCTTCTCTTGGATTCTAATCACTCAATCACCAAATTACTCTTTATGATTTTAAGACCACTAGCAGCACCCAAGAAACTCCGGAATTAGAATATCCCTCAATGTTCGGTTCACGACTAAACACTTTTTCCACTACATTCTGCGGCCCTATATCCTATCGATTTTGGACAACTTTTATTGTCATAACTCAGAGTTCTTCGCGCGGAGGAGTTGCAGGAAACATCAAATGGCAGAATCACCACGATAACGATAACACGCCATGTCAAAGCTGAGTCGGTTATCTGGATGGGTCGAGCGAGTTCGCCTGCGAACTAGGCGGTGTTGGTCTATGTTTTTGTTTTTGAGGGATATCTATCTGTTGCTTTAAAGCTTTTGTATGAAGGTCATGTTCAAGTCCATTCTGGAATGGTGGAGCTTGCGTTTCATTTTGGTCGATTTAGATACCCATTTGATTTCGGGCGATGGAGTTTGGGAGCTTTTTGTGTGGATAGCATAGGTAGTTATGAGAATGTCCAAAAGGGACAATGTCACTTTCAAATATGAACCGTGGTGTATAAATGTGACTTCGTGATTCCTAAGATTACCATTGCTTTATACTCCGGATAGCGCCTTGGTATATATGCTAACTAAAATGCCTTCTCAAGAATTTTGCCCTTGTTAACTACGAATGCTTCCAAAGCAGCTATTATCTGGTTAGTACAAAGATTTCCAGTGTGCAAGGCAATTTGGGAACTTACAAATAGCAGAGTAAACTCTGTTCTCAGCCTCTGGGAAGACCAAACTTCTCGGACCGTAAAACACTCCATCGTCGACTTCATCTTGATGTCTAGGTAGACAATGCATGAATTTCCATCCTTTCTTAGCACCACCTCTCTTTGCCATTTCCTCTGTGATTTGGTATCCTGCAAAGGCCTTGAGTCTCTTGGCTGATTCTTCTTCCTGACCCATCGATATCCATGTATCAGTCACCAATACATCCGCATCCTTTATAGCCTCTTCGGGCACAGAAACCTCTGTAAGTGTTCCCGGTGTATCTGTTGTAGCTGCAGCAGATTGTATGATCTTGCGCATATATTCTGGGATTTTATAACCCTCTGGCGAAGAAACCGAAATGTTGACTCCTAATTTCATTGCTCCAATTGCGAGATCGAAAAGAACATTATTTGAGTCTCCAATCCAGGCGATCTTCATGCCCTCCAAACCCAAGCTTGGCGTGATTTGAGATGAGCTTCTGGAAGTTTGCGAGGGGAATGCTTCGTGAATCGTAAGGTAATCGGCAATGGTTTGTAGGGGATGGTATTCGTCGGATAAAGCATTAATGACTGGTACACTCGACCACTTTGCGAGACCAGCAACATCGGAATGAGGTCCCACTCTAGCTACAATACCTGCAGTCATGCTTGAAATTACAACTGAAGTATCGTATAATGATTCATTGACACCGAGTTGAATGTCCCCGGACCCAAGAAACATAGGATGTCCGCCCATTGTGGTCACCGCCGATTCGGTAGAGATACGCGTACGAGTGCTACGTTTGGAGAATGGCATGGCAATTACTTTTCCAGTCAATGAATTGAGGAGGGAGGTAGGAACAGCACCAGATTTGAGTGCAAGCTTGTGCGAGTGTGCGGAGCGAACGAGAGTAGTAAGCTCGGAGGGAGTGAGGTCTGCGATGGAGAGAAGATGGCGAGGTGCGAAAGGTGAGGTGAGAGGTGTTGAGGCATGGCTGTAGGAACGCAATTGAGTTCTACTGAAGCTCTGTAGAGCTCGAGATCCAGGGCGGAATGCATTGAGAGTCATACTGCTGGTGAGTAAAGAGATAGGTCAATTGAATAGAAATTGTTGAGATATCACTCAGATCAGTGATTAGGAGAGATGAAGAGAAATACGAATGGATGAGAAACTTTATAGTAAGTTCAATGTTCACCTACGAATCTTACTTCAAATCTGTTAATTTGTGAGTCAAATCTGTGAGTCAATTGTTTGATTTATTATCTTCGCAACTTTTCATTGAGGTGTGCTCAAAGCTTCATACTGTACACGCTTTTGGAACCCCGCATAGATGCGCTAACCATATTAGGCGATATATAAACATCTCTGTCTCAACTTGCGAATAGCACGTTTATGATTTATGAGGGTAAAAGATGAGTTTGCCGCAAAGCTACATTAATATTCACAAATTTGCTCCAGAATCTGCTCTAAAGGGGTTGAGGCTTCGTGGATAGTAGTATATGCTTTCGCGCCTCGACTAATACAGTTACCTCTACAATTCTTTGGCGAAGTTTCACCGTCAAAAGAGTCTCACAGACTCGAGGACTCATCATATCCTGTATAATAGAGGAGGTCTCCTAGATGCGAGAGGGCTATACACGGTTACCATCTGAGTCGAAAGACGCCAAAACTTAGTGAGAAGTGTTGTAGAGGGGATTCTATATAGGAGTAGCCCTGGGGGACGGGGTGTGACAGCAACACTTGAGTGTATGGCGAGCTTGTTATTGGTTGAGAAAGCCGAGTTGATGGAGCGGAGAATAGAACGTAATGGGTTTGTCGTTATGAGCCTTCTCACGGTACTTCTCAGTAGCATTTCCTCGACGTTGAAGGCAAGGAAGAATTAGCGACAGTGATACAGTAGCGTGAGAGTCCTGGTAAAGACATGCATAATCTCCGGTGAGCTTTTTATACAGACAGCATAGTGATTGATGATTAGGCCCGTGCATCGACACGTCCCAGTTAACATCAAAATGCTGCACTGCAAACGCTACATTTCTATCTCTTGATTGAAAGTACAACAACACCAACTCCAATATCAACTCTCCAACACACGATCAAAGTAACGTCATATCTAGTGATACTCGTCCTTCGAAAAGAGCTTCAAGCTCTACAAACACGCCCGGGCCTGAACCCGAGTCGAAACGTACCAAAAAATCAGATCCTCCACCCAAGCAAAATGTGTATATCGTTATACATGAAACTTCTTTACCAATCCATTGTGTAAACATTATGTGAACATTGTCAAGCACGAAATCTCAACGCAATCTGGAGATCATGTTACGCATGTATTTGGCATCTTTGCAGACGTTGAAGGTGCTAACAGTTGCCTGAAAAAGTTGGTGTTGGCATATGTGGAGTATACTCATGCAAATACTTATGGGATATGACCTGGGGATGGAGAGATGCTTGGATTGGTATTGTCATGATATGGGAGAGCAGGGTATTGCGGCTCCTACTGTGGAAAAGAATGAAGTATATGGGCCAGGCTCGGAAAAGCGGATCGAGCTAGACTGATCAAAAGAAGAAGGGAAATGGGAGGTTAATCCAGATTACAAAGAGGGAAGTGTAGAGATTATGAGAACTTGGGTGAAAGAGATGTGAAGGAGGAAAAGAAGAGTATATCCATACCGAATTTGAGCTGTTGAGAGACAAATCGGATGTCCTTCAAATCGATGGATAGAGGGATAGACAATATCACAGGCAGTGGATTCTGGACCTTCCATCATATTTTTGGATTCGAGCCACAACTCCACTTGGAAGGTGATGGGCTGTGGATAAAACTCTATCAAAAGAGGAAGGCGCCTCATGCTATATAATTGTATCCCAGATCTACTGCTCTCATCACCAAAACACAACTCATACACAATTATCAACATACTCCTTTCTAATACTTTTTTGGTTATCGAAAGTATTATCATGGAAAACTCATCACATTCACCACATTTCTATAATAAGACCCTTCAAGCCCCTAATTGTGACATTGGTATGGACGGATTATACGATGGACTGTATGGGGCACAGAACGAACTCAAAAGCTCATGCTCTTTGGATGATATAGCATTATCTAAGGAATCCCGAGTACCATTATCCGAGAACTATTCTTCAACTCAACAATACTCTTACCCAGGTCTCCATTGTCCAGCGAGATTAGACTGGCATCAGATTGGCCAACCTCTGGATCTCTGGAGTAAGAATAATTTCGCCAAAGATGCATGGCTTAAAACACGCCGTGTACTTGCAATCAGTGACTCGGATGAAGACACAGAGTCACCCGAAGATGAAAGAGTCACACTCCAGAAAGAAATCTCTGAACTCACGACTGAGAACGACGAATTGCTCGCTTCGTTGGATTTGTTGCAAGCTCAAGGGTCAACTCCTTTACCAACAACTCCAACGAACTCCTCACAGCCATTCGACATCACCTACACGATTCCTGAAAGTGAAAGTGAAAGTGAAAGTCCAAGCTCGTCATCAACAGCAACCTGCGTACTTCGATCCCCGCCAGGATCAATCGCTACCCCCTCTCCGCTCCCCGAACTCTACCGAGCCGTATCCAACACCCTTCAAAACAGTGCAATGGCAGCTCGAAAACAAAATCAAGCCTACCTCGTGCTACACGCCGCGATACCAGTCGCAGCAATATCCCTCGCAACAACTACTGTCACAGGTATTTACACGACACTTGAAGAGGCCAACGGATTCGTCGAGAGGATCGCCGAGGAAACTTGTCGAGATGTGCCCGAGGAACATTTGACGTTGATGGTGGAGGAGGATGGCGGGTATGCCTTTGATATCTTTGATATGGAGAAACATATGTTGCACCGGGTACATATTGAGAAACAGGTGATTCGGGGAGCGTGGAGTGATGAGGCGGACTTTGAGAAGACGGGGGTGATGAGGAGGGATCAGGAGGAAGAGAGGGAGATCTTTCTTGATATGGCAAAGCTGTCTTTGTGAGTTTTACGGTGATTGATGATTGCTGTCTGAGGAACGGGCTATGGCTATGACTATGACTATGAGCGACATGTTTTAAGTTTGGATGGAGTATGGTGAAGCGATTCAGGAAACTTTGAGAATTAGGATTAGGATTAGGATTATAACCAAAATTAAGCTAAACAGGAATAATATTCAGATTATGCATCCATGCATTACCGACTGCATTAGACATGGCAATCACCACACCAAACCAATGCAATGCAATTCTCAACAAAACATCAAGATTTCAAACACTCTATCTATCTATCTATCTATCAGTAAGAACTACCGGTACAAGAGTATTTCCAAAACTTCAACAAGTCAACTACAGTAACAGTATTTACTCAAAGTCAATATATTCTCCACTCACTGCCCGAATCATTCCTCTCCTTTCCTTTCCTTTCACTTCATTAACTAGCACATCCTTCCGTTTTCCATTTTCTATTTCTATTTCCATTTCCATTTCCATTTCCATTTCCATTTCCATTTCCATTTCCATTTCCATTTCCATTTCCATTTCCATTTCCACTCCCACTTCCACTTCCACTTCCACTTCAACTTCCGAATCTACATATATTCCATATTCCATCCCCACACTCTTCAGTCCAGTCGAGTCATGTCGAGTCATACCATTCATTACTGTACTCGAGTATGTACTCAGTAGTCAGGCTATATAATAAATACTACCTAAATAAACCCCACCACACACACACACACACTCTCTCTCTCTCTCTTCCCTTCCTCTTTCATGTTTCTATATTATCTCATACATACACTTCCGTCTATCAAACTTCCCTATTCCACACTACACCACACCATAAGACAAGATAAGGCAATACAAGATATACACTCACTATACTCGAGTACCGTAAACTCTTTAGATTAGGAATATAAATCCAGCAGCACTGGCTTATGCGAGTATGTCTTTTTCACTATATTGCCATCATGTCATATCATGTCATATGGTATTGAATCATTCATATATCATGTATTCTACTCGAGTATATCATATATCATATATCATGTATCATAAATATCCACCCAGGCCATAATTAATATCCCCTTTTTAAAATAAAAACTCCCATAACAAACAAACAAACAAACAAACAAACCCACCCCTCTTCCCCTAACCCAACCCGATCAAAACGCCCATCCAAGCGTCAACCTATAAATCCTCTCCTTCCTCGTCTCCTCATTACTACCCTTTCTCGCCGCTTCCTGCGCCAAAAATTCCCGTTCCTGCGCATCAATCTTATCCTTCCCACTAAAGAGATCCGCTTCTTCAGGTTTCAACACCTTGGTCCTCATGACGATTTTATATCCGAAAAACATGATGATGTACAACGGGATACCCAGATACGTGGTGATGAAGGTAGAATAATCGAAGACGGGCTTGGTGCCCTTGGCTGCGGTTTTCTTGAAGCAGAAGAGTGCGAAGCCTTTGAAAATGGCTATCAGGATGCAGAAGAAGAGTGCGCCGTAGGAACCCCAGATGCCGAGGGGAGCGACATATGCTAGTTGTTCGTTGTTGATTCCTTGGGCGCGACGCGCGCGCACAAAGTAGATGTGTGAGATGAGGATGGAGATCCAGGTCAGCAGACCAAACATGGTGACGAGATTGACGAAATAGTTGAACACGACGTAGGAAGCGGTGTTGACACCCAAGAAGGCCAGGAGACAGAATGCAGTACTCAGTCCCAGTGCATAAATGGGAACGCCGCGTTTATCAGTACGGGTGAAGATTCTGAAAGCTTTTCCCTCCGAGGCGAGACCGTAGAGTGTGCGGGAGGCGATGTAGAGATCCGAATTTGCGGCTGAGAAGACGAAGATCAAAATACAGGCGTTGAAGATGGCGGGGAGGGCTTGGATGCCGCTTATTTTGATGGCGACGACGAAGGGTGAGGCAGAGGCATTGTTGCTCTTTTTGTTGCTGTCTATCAGGAGTTGAGAGTTGTAGGGAACGAGCATGCCGAGAAAGAAAACGAGAACGACGTAGAAGATGACAATCCGGTAGAAAGTCATTTTGATGGCTTTGGGGATTACTCTGCGCGGGTTGGCAGCTTCTCCTACTGTCACGCCGACGAGTTCCGTGCCTAGGAATGCAAAGACGGCGGTGGTGAACGTAGACCAGACGGCAAGAAATCGGCCAGCATTTCCAGCTATATGTTATTAGTAAGAGTAATCAATCTAGTTATCTAGATACATAGGATGCTTACTTAAAATGTACTCATGAAATGCTCCAGGATTACTCCAGTACTTGAATCCAGTAGCTTGATGATCAGGTCCTCCTCCGCATACAAGGACGAGACTAAGGATAATGAGGCCCATAATTACAACCACTTTGATACTTGACAACCAAAATTCGAATTCTCCAAAGAATTTTACACCAAAATAATTGATGGCTACAATGGCAACTAAGAATATGGCAATCCAAACACCAGGATTAACTTTGTCTCTCGGTAGCCAGTACTGTATGACCAAAGATGCAGCTGTGAGATTATTAGGGGTGACGATGATGTATTTGAACCAATAATTCCTAATAGTTCATCAGTAATGACTCGCTTGATTAAAGAGACGTGGGAAATACCATCCTAAACAGAATCCTAAAGCCGGATCAACAAATCTGGTAGCATAACCCGTAAATCCACTCGCTAAAGGCAACCAAGCAGCCATCTTACATATCGTCAGCAGTTACTCATTTAAAAAGACTATTCATGAACAACATACCTCACCAAGAGCCGCCATGACCAAAAAACACAGTATTCCAACAATCGAATAGCCTATCAGAAGTGGCGCTGGACCTGCCTGTGCAAGCGCTTTTCCCCTGTAAAATCGTGTCAGCGAAACTACTCTGTGCCTTTTGGAAAGCTTGTCATGCAAGGGAAAAATGACAAATTTCTGTAAGGATACAAAATACATACGTTCCAATGATTAATCCAGTTCCAATGGCACCACCGATTGCTATCATCGTGATTTGTCGAGATTTTAAACCACGATGAAGATGGTGATTTGGATCATCATCTTCACCCACATTTTGCGAATTTGTTCGCTCTTGCTCAAAGGCAGGATTTGGTTCGTATGCTTTCTCCTCGCTCGAAGGCGAGTAATCCCGTGGATTATTGGTAGCCATTATCAGGAAACCCAATGGTCTCAAAAACCTTTTGCACAGAAGACGAATGTCAGATGTTGGAAAGGAAGGAAAGAGGGAAGAGGGAAGAGAAAGAGGAGGAGGAAGGTAAATAGGAAGGTAAGGTAAGAATAGGGTACTAGCCAGTCCAGCCTACTGGGAACTGCCCGATACTTTAAGTAACGTCTAAACTTGCCGTATGACAGATAACTAGTAGTTTTTAGTTCGCAATGGCTCCGGTAACTGTATCCTAGTATTAGTAGATATCAACATCAAATCGATCGATTGACAAATTATACCACTACCACTTTACCACTGGCTATCAAGATTGCAGCACTTGCCAAGCCTTTCAAGATAGACCCCATCCTCACGGGGTCCTATTTATTCTCATTCACCACACCAATAATCCATATGCAGCGGCGCAGTGGCAGGGCCGCAGCCATACCATAGACTCGGGCAACTGCATGCCTGATCGCGATTCACCACAGAAGTCCACCGACAAGGATGGGATACCAATGATAGCATATGGGGTAAAACCGGGCCTTTTCACTGATATCAGCATATCAATACCTTAGCACGCAATAAGGGCCTGGGCGCCCAGATCTGTTATCGTGTAACTCGTTACTCGTTACTCATGAGCTTTAGACGATAGAACCTCTTTCCATACAGTCCCGGTACTGTGCATTTAAAAATGGAGCCAAGATGACACCAAGGATTCCCCAAAGGTAAAGAGAGATAATGATTGCATTGCTATTTGGTCTGACCTTGGCATTGGGAAAGAGGTGATAAGACAACTTGGCAGTAGAGAAAGGCGAGAGACGAGAACTCAGTATCATTTATTTTTGACCCCAGTTCCAGCCCCAGCCCAAATAGGGTTGTGTGATTGTGATTGGGTATTTTTCGAAGGGGTGGCAGGAGATTATCGTCCAAGGTTTATGGTTGTATTGTTAACCTGTGGGGTAACGTTGTATTACCTAATGGAGGCAAGGCGTTCTTTACTAATATTCTGAATGTATATATCTTTTCTCTACTCGAGTAAGGGTATTTTTATAGAATACTATAAATATCTCTCTCTACTTTAGTATCGAGTATAAATATCAAGTAAGATTATAGAATATTATATATATATTATTTCGCTCGGTTTTGTACTTAATTGGTTTAGTTCATATAATAACTAAGATTTATACTATAACTACTATTTTGTAAATAACCATAGTAATCGACTCAATATACATCTTTGGGGTATTCAACTTTTATTTTCATCTATTGCCTTTTTGCATACACAAACCCATCACCTCTTTGCGTTTGCCAAAAGATTCAAGGCGCTGCCTGCCAATACGAATCCGGCTTGAGTAGGGCTAAATGTATGCTTCGTCTTGAGAATAACTTCCTCCCCAGACCCATGTTTCTTAACCCGTAGGCTCACCTCACCCTTCCCACCATTTTTCAACATTTCATACAATCCAATCGTGCTGACCTCATCAAGTGCGTCGATCTTTGCATAATCCTCTCCGTTAGCGAAGGTAAGGGGTACTACACCTTGCTTTTTTAAGTTTGTTTCGTGGATGCGTGCGAATGACTTGCAGAGAATAACTCGTCCTCCCAAGTAGCGAGGCTGGAGTGCTGCGTGTTCACGTGCTGAACCTTCTCCATAGTTGCTTTCTCCAACTACGAGCCATTCTTTTCCCTGATCCTTCCATTTTTGTGCAAGTTCTGGGATACCAGATGTGCTCCCATCAACGTCATAGGCAACATTTACCTCACCTGTTGTGGCGTTGATCGCCGTGATGAGTGTGTTGGCAGAGATGTTGGGAAGATGGCCTTTGTATTTGAGCCAAGGTCCAGCAGCAGAAATAGTATCAGTAGTACACTTTCCGGTGACCTTGTAGAGAACGCGAAGTCCACCTAAATCATTTTCTGGGAATGGCGCGAATGGTTCCAGAAGGGCTAGACGATCGGAAGTTGGAGATACGACGACCTGTGTTTCAGGAGAAGGGGGCCCTGATAATGGCAAAAATTCCTTGTTTCCCTCTTCGAAACCTCCCTGGGGAAGTTCAGCACCGGTAGGTGGCTCGAAACGAAACTCTTTGCCAGTCGGGGTCATGATAGAGTCTGTAAGTGGATTGAAAGATGTGCTTCCCGAATATGACATAGCTGTGACGATCTCTGGAGAAGCAAGGAAATTCATAGTATCTGGGTTACCATCGTTACGGCCTCGGAAATTTCGATTGTATGATGTGAAAATCGCGTTTGGCTCACCCTTGGCAACTCCATCTGTCCTGCTCCACATGCCAATACAGGGGCTTTGGTATGTTAGCAATTGTTATTATCAAATTATTGTGAGAGCAACAGAATAGTTTGGGTCTGGTTGGGAAGTAGAGCACATCACGTGATCAAACATAATCCACATAAGATTGAACAACCCAGACAGACCTGGGATTTCGAAACAGAGTTGGACTTCCAAAAATAATTGAAAATTGGGGTATCAGGAGTTGCCTACCAAAGAACATATCTGGGATGAAACCCAGGATCCAGGCAGTACTGAGAAGTATCTAGGATGTAGGAAACGAATCATGAATCCGGATTCTGATCGTGGGATATGATAAAAGGAAACCGATAGTACTTACCCACAAGCATTAGCAAGTACAATTCCTCCAGCTTCAGTGAACGTCGACGAAATCTGATCGCGCTCTAAAGTGGCCCTAATCTGTTCACTACCGGGGGTGATAAAAAAGTCGGTGACTGGCTTGAGGCCTGCGGCCGAAGCTTGCTTGACCAAATTCTGTGCGCGTGCCATATCTTGATATGAACTATTCGTGCAGCTACCAATCAAGCTCGAGGATACTGTCTTTGGCCAATTATTTGCTTTAACAGCCTTCGCAAATTGTGACAATGGGGTAGACAGATCAGGTGTGGCTGGTCCGTTAATGTGAGGTTCTAGTGTAGATAGGTTGATGGTGATAAGTTCATCGTAGTGAGCACCTTCATCGGCTCTGAGTAGATTTCGGAGGGAAGGGCTTTCTGCGATGGCTTGAGCTTGTAAAGCGATAGAGGATCGATGTGTTGATTCGAGATATGGGACGTGGCGTTTTGAGAATGGGAAGAGCGAAGTTGTAGCACCGACCTCAGCACCCTTTTGAGATAGTTAACAACAGTTTATAGAGATGATAATCAAATGTTTGTATCAAAAGAAGAATAAATACCATATTGCATATCGTTGCCATTCCAGTACAGCTCAACGAGTCAACTCCCGGTCCATGATATTCTATAATATATCCAGTTCCACCGCGGACAGTCAATTTGCCTGCCAAGTATAGGATAACATCCTTAGGAGACGCCCAACCACTCAGTTCCCCTTCAAGTCTCACTCCCAGAATTTTTGGAGCTTTTAACTCCCATGGCGCATCGACCATTGCGTCCACAGCATCAGCTCCACCAACACCAATAGCAATGGCTCCTAATCCACCAGCGTTTGGGGTGTGACTGTCTGTGCCAAGCATCATCAAGCCAGGGGCTGAATAATTTTCCAACACAGTTTGATGAATGATTCCTGCTCCAGGAGGCCAAAACTCGATACCATATTTCTTCGCCGCAGATTCCAGAAAATCGAAAACTTCTTTATTGCCCTTGATCGACTCTGGAAGATCGACATCTGCTCCTCTCTGTCCAACAATCATATGGTCGCAATGAATACTGGCTGGCACAGCAGTAGAAGGCAGTTTGCACGTCATGAATTGCAATAATGCCATTTGTGCCGACGCATCCTGCATAGCAACCCTGTCTGGCTTGAGCTTAAGATTTGCATTTCCTCTGATGTTGAGTCCATTGTCGGTGTTTGACAAGAGTGATTCTTCTGGGTTGTCGAGATGGGAATATAAAATCTTTTCCGCAAGGGTCAAGCTTCTTGAAGGACCTAATACTCTTCGAACCTCATGGAGTCGTTTGAGGAGTTTCGGGTAGGGGGGAGTGCGGGATTCGATATCAGGCTTGTATGTCGAATTGTTCGTATTCACAGTTGCAAGAGTTCGTCCGCTTATCGGTCTTAGAAGGGTTGTGATATTAGTCCTCTATATAAAAGTCAATCGCATGAAAGCTTGAGACAGAAAGAATTACTTACTCTAATAGCCAGACCACTACTCTTGAGAAGTCCACAGGACTTCATGTTTTCGAATCTCACCGGTTTTGCTTGGATATTTGAAGCAATTCACAAAAAGTCAACTAGAATTATTGCATCTTCAATTGCGATATCGCTAAGAAATTCTTCCTGACATTCGGAAGGCAGCCGATTGGAGATAGGATCGGGATGCTGCTTTGACTTTATCTGTATTATGAACCACTTGTGTATAAGTTACAACATTCTGAAATTAAAGCGGCTCGAGGGGCTTGAAATCACCCCGCATATCAGCTTTTGGACATCACCCAACTCTGAAAGCTTCCGATCAAATCTCCCCTGTTTTGTAGAAACACCTCAACAACATCACACTTGTGATCCAAGACTTCAAAACGTTCAAGATGTGCTTGTTCTCTTGGAAAGAGAGTCTTATATATAGCTCGTTATATCACAAGTGATAGCGATGTTGGCACAAGTCCAAGAATATGTGGTTTATATATGCAAGTCTAAATTTTTGGGGTACTCGAGGAAATGAAAAGATTCAGGATTGGACAGAGGATCAGTCTTGAAAAAAGCCCAAGGACAAAGACCATCAAGCATGAATCATTCATTCCCTTGAATGTTGTATATACAGTCCCAACTTTTGGGATACTTGAAGGAACTAAAAGTGTCAGTCAGTATTGGACAGAGGATCAGTCATGAATAAGAAAAAAAGCCATCAAGTATGAATCATTCCCTTGAAAGTCATATATGCAGTTCTAATTCTACTTTTTGGGGTACTTGGGGGGGATTAAAAGTGTCAGTAATGGACAGAGGATCAGTCTTGAAAAAAGCCCAAGGCCCAAGGCCATCAAGTATCGACCATTCCCTTGAATGCTATGTATACATTCCCCACTATTGCGAGACTTGAAAGGACTAAAAGTGTCAGTCAGTATTGGACAGAGGATCAGTCATGAAGGAAAAAGCCATCAAGTATGAATCATTCATTCCCTTTAGATGCTAAGTGTACAGTCCCAACTCTTGGATATCTACCAAAGCATCTCATGTAGTGAATTTGGGATGATAGAAAGTTCAGAAATTCTTTTGTTTCTTTTGACCCAATCATAGACTTGGCTTGTCTGTCTCTCGAAGGGAAGGGGCTCACATTTATTACTCTTCAGGACATGCAACCATATTCAAGTACGAGAATATAAGTTTCACATAATGAGAATGGTAGATGTACTTCAAGGTGAAGTTGGAGTATGTATATCACCACAAGCTTAGAATATTCTGTATTGAAATAGAAGCTTGATAAGAGATAAAAGAAGTGTCTTTAGTATCCTTACGCTTGGAATGGTATCTTGGAAGGGCATCTTTGGCAAAGAGAATTAAACAAAATAAAAACACTCATAACAGACATTGTACATATTTCCTTCTGCACTTTTTCTGTAAAGGTAGTAAATAGTAGCAGCACAAGTAATAGTAATGGGAGAATGAAGCTGCTCATTTACAATTTGCTAGTACCCCGCATTAATTCATCACATTACCTAGTACCTACCTAGGTAGGCATCCTTTCTTTCCTTCGCTCTTTCCTTTTCATCTCAACTTCACTTTCTCATTCATTCAGTAGTCTGGGCAAACTACTTTCTCTCTTAATCTAGCTTAGCTTACTTTGCTTGTGTACCGAGTTTGGTTTCCTAGCAACTTAGCTAATTGAGAAGGGAGGGAAATTCAAAATATCGGATCGCAAGCACACAAATAAAACAACTTCCGACCTCTTCAATCTCTTCAACCTCTTCCGGCCTCTTCATCCTCTTCAACCTCTTCCAATCCACCTTCCTTTCTGATTAATTTCTGTTATCATTCAACTCTACCTTCATACACATACGAGTAGTAATCTTTTTGATTTCCAAAATTCCCTCTAGTCTTTACTTTGCGTACTCAATCCAGCGCCGCCATCTTTTCTTCGTCTTCGTTCGTATTTGACTCAAGGCTTGCCAAAGAGCAGGCATCGTAAATTCATTGTCAAGGTACGCACGCTCTCAGTTTCTCACTCTCTTTCAAATATTCCTACATCACATAGTCTTCACTTTCCGTCTATAATCATCAAATTTACCCTCGTTCTGTTTCATTCCATCTATCTTGTAATCAGCTACTTCTGTATCTTGCCTTGTGTGTCCTTACCGTGGTGCTCTCTCATCCTTCAAATCGAAGCTCAGCACCAGCATGTTATCTTCTCTTATCTTACCTTACCTACCCCTCCTACAACATTTGATTCACTTTCTCATTACAGACACCTCATGTGCATTTACTTCTTTCGCTTCTACACTTTGCAACGTACATCGCTAACACATAATACGACAGAAGTCCTGGATTCGTCGGGATTCTTTTCCACCAAACTTAGTTTCTGATCATTTCGGAACAAATTCATCCATTCCTAAGATGGACGAAAATGGTGAATATGGCCGAGAGCCGACGGAAAGAGAGATATCAGCTGCTGAGATGGAGGCAATACACCAAGCTATGATGGTAAATTCCCACACACTCGCTCATTTCATTACACCAGACTACGTCCGTAGAACTTATAGAATGCTAATCTTCATTTAGGAAGAGCTTGGTCTTGGTCGCAAAGATGCCTTACCACTCGAGGATAGAGCTGCCGATGTTTCAATGGTACCAATGACATCCACCACCAAGCGTGTTAGACCAGAGAACCCTGCATCTGCTTGGCAAAGTGAGATCAACTGCCAAAAGCTTGAACTGGTCTATGTGCTGACTCATTTCTTTTAGACTTCAGTCCTGATGATGTCGAGCCTGGTCTTGGAGACCTTAGCGATATCGCCGGCGGACAATTGTATCGACTTCGGAGAGGTGGTAGTGGACTAAGCAATGGTGGGAGAGGTGGTCACTCGGCGGGTCGCGGTCGAGGTGGCGCTTCGAGCAGAGGTGGCCATGTATCTGTGGGTGGTCGCGAAAATTTGGCAGCAAAAGGCAGAAATTTCGATCATTCGAGATCTAGGTATGCTGCCGTCAACATAAAATTGTCTATCTTGAACTAACAAGCCACCAGTCAAACCCATTCCCATGATACTAGAAGTAGTGCCAAATCTCGTGCTGCAGTTGATTCTGGTATTGCTCGTTTACAACGCGAGGCTGAGTTCAGCAAAATGCTGCGATCCAGCGAAATGATGCGAACGGAAGGTCGTGCTGTCAAGATGCCTTCATCGGCACCCAGGTCTGCGAAACCAGTTCTTCGAGCTGCATCTCATGCAGTGACTGGAGCTGCTTCTTCAGCAGTAACTCGACCCACAGTTTCGAAATTCAAGCTCGTCTCCTCTGCAGCTTTCCTTTCGCATGCTAATATCAGCTCTAGCCCGACTACAAGAGCTGCGGAGCCTGTTATTTCTGCACCCCGGTCCAACACTGGCAATGTTCTGCCACCAGCAACCAGCTTGAAACCACAACAGGGCCTTGAGAGTTCGATATGGGCACCATCTCCTGCTGCACCCCAGCTCAACACTGACAATGTCCTGCCATCAGCATCCAGCTTGAAACCACAACAGGGCCTTGAGAGTTCGATATGGGCGCCATCTCCTACTGCGCCCCAGCTCAACACTGACAATGTCCTGCCATCAGCATCCAGCTTGAAACCACAATATGGTCTTGAGAGTTCGATATGGGCACCATCTTCTGCTACACTTGTCAACACGTCCGAGCCAAACCATCATGATCAATCTGCTGCCCCCTTGATTTCTACGAGCATATCCGCGTCAAGTAATTCTGCTCAATCAGTCATGCCCACCGTTGGTATGAATATCTCGGAGTCAAACTATTCTCTTCGATCTGGAACATCAGCCATTCCTACGAATACTTCCAAGTCAAACCATTCTTTTCAATCTGGTACTGTTGCCACCCATCTGGATCTAGTAACAGATAGTGTATCAATCCAGCGTAGACCATTCGTCATGCATACTGTAGTAGATGAGAGAAACGTCAAGTACAGCAAGAACAACAGTCTGGACAAACCTGGGATTGTGAGACTCGTCAAATCTGATGAAAGATCTCCTTTGACTCTCGAACTTCAAGTCAACGGCGATATTGTTCTCAGCGAGTTACTGACGGAGACCACGGAAATCAAGGTCCAATCAAATTTCCTCACATACCGGGCAGATCCTACAACAGAACAATCACCCACTTGGAAATTCATATTTCAATTACCAGGTCCAGCCAAGGGCTTCCTTGATTGCCATACTGTCACACTTTCTGAGCTGAGACGTAATGGATGCTCATCTCAATCCTCAGAACAGGGAAGGCAGAGTTCACGTGTGCCTCTATCTCCCGTTCCATCGTCCACAATTTCCTGTTCGTCAAAAACTACATCGCGAAACGATGTAACGTATCTTCCGAACATAATCAGCAGTTCTACATATGCTGATCTCGCTGAGCTCGATTGCGAAGAGACCCTCTTCTCACTTCAGGAAGAGGAAAATCAACTCGAGGATGACCAAGTTGAAACGTATTCGTCTTTACAAGACCTTTTGAGCTTGATGGAAGGGGATATCTTGAGTCACACACTCCAGGTTCTGAATAAAGACCACGGTGGTTCTTTTGTTGATCATGTTTATCAGCTGGCCAAGGGAACAGGGCTTGAAAATGATCCGCACTTCATGGAACGTGCCAAGAATGCTATCGGTGGTGGACTATCATCCTCTTGTTATTCAACTGAGAAGCCCATATTGACGGTCACGGAAGAACTTGTTGCAGACTTTCTCAAGAAGTCTAAAACATTATCACAATTTCCTGCGGAATTTCTTCACACCTATACCAAAGAAATTTCCAAGAAGATTCTCGACAAAGCTCAGGAAGCTCAAAATCTTCAGGTTGCTACCCAATTAGCAACTGCCAGCTTTAATACGAGTTTCAATTCTGTACAGGCGCCTGAAATTGTTGAAGATATCAAGCCCGTCGAAGCTGTCAAGCCTGGCATAGTCATCAAGTCTGTTGGCACTTCTGATATCATTCCTAGACAAGTACGAATAGCTTATTCAGTCGAGGAAATGTTCATGATGCGACCAAATGCTACATATACCACAAAAGTACTTGCTGCAAGAGATTCTCTTGAGAAATACCTCGCTAGTTACAAGAGAGGCATTGCATCAGCCGACATCATTCAAACTACTGATTCGGGTGTGAGAATTGTTGCCGGTAGGAGTCGAGAATCACAGTACAAGGACTCACATAGAGATACTGCTACAAAAGCCCATTCCTCTGCAAAGACTCGATTCGCAAGCACAGCTAGCAATCAAGAAGTTCCACAGGTCATCCAACAAGATAAATCTATCGAGAAGCAGATACCGGAGCCAAAAAGACTTACACCAGAATCATTGTCTGATGACAACGCTAATCACATTTCAACAGAGCTTACCAGTCGTCAAGACTCTTTTGGTAAAGGAGATGGCACACCTTTTTCCAAGATATCCCCTGCGGAATGGAAAGCTCGATTCCGTGGTACTCTCAGTAATCATACATCCTCAACGATCACTAAAGTCAAGGAAATTACTACCACAGGCAACAAAGGAAGCATTAAGAACGATGTACTTGCATGTATTTCTGTCGAAGATAATCTCAACAAATCAACAGCTGATACCCGTCAACAGAGCTTGTCTGATAAGTCTAGCGGAACATCCTTCATTGCTTCCCAGGCTACAACTCACAACAATCCAAAGAGTTCTACCACTGCTGCGGAGAGCGAGGTAAAACTGAAGGCAGAGTCTGGCAGAGATACTAGTCCTCTTGTACTTCCAACAAATAGAGGTCGGAGCACTTCTAGGTACGCCACTCCAAATGGCGTGAGTCAAGCAGCCATTCTTCGTGGTATGTCTGGTTATAATACTCCTCCACGTCAGGTTGTTGAGAGACAAGAATCATCCAATGGATCAAGTGAATCTTCAACAGCTTTGAGATTAACACAAGTGCATGACACTCTCTTATGGGAAGCATCTCTGTCGTCTAAGCAAACACAAACGTCCATCAAAGAGGAAAGCCCTGAAGCTCCCAAGAACGGAGTTGTAGATATTGCGTCTACTTCCGAATCTGGAAAGCCCATGCCTGTGACCATTTCCCACAAGTCTGTTTTAAAGCAAAGCCCTACAAACCCGCTAACTCAATCAGTATCTAAAGTCGACAATGCTTCGAACTTTAAACAGATACCTGAATTTAAGGTTGTGAAGCAGACAGAAGCTCCTGCTACTGTTGTCGGAACTGCAGCCTCGGTCACTGTTGACATATCTGGAAACCAAATGGCTAAGACTGTTGGTTATCAAGAGACTAATCCGGTTGCGTACGACATGGTCACAAGAAAGGAAAAGACCGTATCCAAAGTTGAAAACCAGCTTCCAATCAGAAGAAGACATACCGCAACAAATTCAGATGTTGACAGACTTGCCCAAGTTCTGAGCAATTTGGACGTCAAGACCGAGAAGAATAATGATATAGTAATTGATGGTTTGCCGATCCCGGAACGCAGTATCAGTCCCACTATTGAAGAGATCCTCGAAAAGAAGCGTAATTGCGGACTGTCGACATCAATATGGGCAACCCCTGAAGACGCCGTCTTCAAGCCTGCATCTCGTACTCCGCAATCAAATTCGACGGGCTACGGTCGACCAAGTTTAACAAAGCCGCAACATCATCGACATCGAGTATTCTCTCCTCACAATAATCATCAAAATCCTGCCATGCAAGCACAAGTACCATATGGAGACTTCTTACAACATGGAAACCAGTATACCAGTACGCAAGGACAAACTTCACATGGATATCACTCTCCAGGATTCAATCAACAATATCTTGGCCAACGCATGCAGCATCAACAGCCCCTTTATGTTGTGTTCCCAGCTGTTCTAGTGACAGGTCCAGTCACAAGTAACCCCAAGGCAGTAACTGGTATTCCAATTGGAACACACGGTCCATCTGTTGCGAAATTGACATCTGCTGATGTAGGATATTCTCCTTCAAGTGTGAGAGGTTTCACACCGTCTAGTCCATCTTCGTTTCCCCCTAGACCTACAATGTTAGATAGAAGTTCTTCCGATTCCGACAACGAAGATACATTGAAGGCAACTGCGCCGGTCTTCACTCCTTCTCGCCATAATGACGGAAGCACTATGAATCGACCAGCGTTATCACCTCTCCTCAATCGCTTGAATGCGCAACAGAAAGCTGTCCAAGCCAGACTAAATAAGAGCTTGGCAGAGCGATAAGTTTAGGCTATGGATGATAAAGTGACGGCATGTGAGGTTGTGGCAGAAATCTGATAAAGAAGTGCAGAAAATGGAGGAGTTTGTTTGGTGGCAGCGAAGAGCATTAAGGAGGTTAAAATTTCGATCAGATATTGGACGATAAAGCAGATATCCGCGATCATCAACTGTACATATCTCCGAAAAATTACTTGGTGCAGCGGGACCTGATCCAGGGTAATAATTGGCCATTCCATAGCTTTCTGGAAAACATATTGAAAAGTCACATATGTCAAACTAGAATTACATTGCAAGTTGATTGTGAACTGACTGAATGTGAAATACGAAATGTATAATTCAAACCTCTCCCTTATCATGCTTGGTAAGGTAAGCAAGCCAATTAAATGCAATAAATATATATGTTAGATGCTGATCATAGATAACGAATATGATCCTTTCGTTCTTTGGCATTTCCAAAGCATGATTTTGATTCTGATAGCAGTCACTTGACATCCATTGGATTTTATGTATAACATATATACTCGAGTAGACTTTATATAAATACAGATTATACAGTAAAAAGTTACAGATATCCGTTGTTCGTAATGAATGAGGTATGACATGATATGACATGATATGACAATTACTGAATGCCAAAGGCTAAATGCTAAATGCTAAATGCTAAATGAATTAAATCAAATTAAATAATCAAATGAAAGGTTTACAGCGAATACGAGTATAACAATTTAGATTATATTCTAGTTATATGCAGAGAGATGTCTGTGGATTGTGGATTGTGGGTTGTGGGTTGTGATGTGGTGTATGGTGGGGGATGGTTTGTAGTAAGGGGGGTGGGTTGGACGTGGGACTAGGGATGGGTAAGGAGGGAGATTGATGGTGAAGGGGATGGGATGGGATGGAAGTGTTGGGTTGTGTGGGTTGGTGAGAGGTGTAGATGGGAATGAGGATGAGGATGGGATGAGATGGGATGGAGGAGGATTAATTGGTAGGTGAGAGATATGGGTATATGATGGAGAAGTGAGAGTGGAAAAGAATGTAATAAAGAGAGATCGATGGGATGACGAGAGATATAGATGTGTAATGAGGAAGAGGAAGGAGAAGTGGAGTTTAGCGGGTTGGGTTTGGAAAACTATGATCTAGAGAAAAGAGAAGAGAGGACTTGGATGGAGATTTTTGCTTGGATTGTGAGGAATGAGGGGATACGTATGGAGGGGCATGGTATGGTATATTTGTCGAAGTGTTGTGGAAGGGATGTGAGGTGGATGTGACTCATGTGAGGTAGATATTAGAAATTGGTAGGTGACTGACTGACTATCTTAATTTAGCCGAATAAAAAAAAGGGATTGAAATACAGTGATGAAAATTGGAAGATGGAGGAAGGAGAATGAAAGGGTTCAATGGACAAAGAAAGGACTCGTAGAGTTCCTAAAAGTTCGGGCTGTAGTCTAGATTCGAAGACTTGTCGTTTGAGAAGCTGCTGGAGATTCTGTATGGATTGAATGTGGATTTTGATGGTGATGCGAGTGAGTGTGAATATGATGTTGACAAGGAGATACTTGGAGTTCTTGGGGGGTTTTATGTTAATAGATCGGGATGAGATGGAAGTTTTAGTGAAGTGAGGTGGCTTTACATGAAGTGAAGTGAGTGGAGATGAGTTGAGGAGAGTACTACTGTAGTCTGTATGGGATAGGATGAGGATGCGCACCCGGATGCGGCGAGTGAAATGCGGAAAATATAGAAAGGTATAGATAGCAATTTGTACTACTTCATATGGTCCATACCAATGTCCTCCTAGATTTATGTTAGGACTAGGGACCTACCTAAATTGAAATTATGTGTATTGTATCATCCGAACGTTGAAATTTCCTTCTGATTTACGTCTAGCTCATTGTTTTTAGATTGAGAGATGTAAGGAAGTACGGAGTACGATCATTGAGCGGTTACAGACGGCGAGGCTTTGATTTCTTTTCTTAGGGTTTGATCGAGTATTGGGGATGAGCGAAACTTGTGGTCGGATAGGAGATGTGATGGGGATTGGCAATGTAGTGTCGAGTAGGAAAGGGAATGAGGGCTGTAGGGTAAGGAGACGTATATGGGAGATAGGATATAGTATATAGGATGAGGCATTTCATTTGGGAAAGAGGAGGGTTGTTGGGAGAAAGTCTTGAAAGGAGAGTAAATGGGAGCTTTGGGATGAGATTTGATTCCAGGATTATGCTGGAGTTCAGATGGATGTTGGAAATGTTTAGTTTGGCTTGAAATCGTGGCTGAGAGTTAGAATTGGGGAGAAGCTGAATTGGTTGAAGGCCTTGAGTTTTATCGATGTTCGACAGGGTCAGAGACAATAATTTGATGACATGGCCATGGATATCCTCTTGGTGGCTTGTGACAAGAGACCGTTGTGGTAGTGATGATGGTGTGCAACATTGAGAAATCAAGAGACTAATCTTTTATCACCAATGGCACCGTAGCTAGCTATAGAGCCAAGATATAGAACCCGAACGCCATGTTGAATTTCTAATGACCTCCGGGCCACCAGAAAGCGGTGTATATGTATAGAAGCTTGCTTGAAACAACTTTGGAGTTTGAAATGTCAATCGAATCAATTGATTGAAGGGCGTATCCTGCTATAAACCGTATCTATATCTAGCCCTTGCCAAATTCCTCCTCGTGTTACCCTGTGATATCATGTAATTTGGTGTCTAATGGCCGTGAAATATAGATATCCCGAAAACGATGGAACTCCGACAGTTGGTGATGTATGTGCAAACATATTCGAACTTTTTTTCATAGATGGTAGGCTGCTGAAAGCCTTTTAATCTGAGCTTTAGACATGATACGATACACACTTGAAGGAGCGCTTTTCGTCAGATCTTGGGAGTGCATCATGGTATCAAATATTATAAGCGCATCCGCAAGCAGCCAGAATATAGGTGCAATAGACGGGAATATTGGCATCTCGATCTTTACGACCTCAATTGTGGACAGTACATGGGAGTATCCCTTGAGAAAAACAATCGTTGAAAGGACTGTTCCGCATAGTAAAAGCTTTTTTCAAAGTAAGTAGTGGTTAATTGAGTAGGTGTGAAGAAAACAGTGACATATAGAGAGCCGAACCGGTATTTCTTTACACGCATCGAGGAACTATTCCAGACAAAAGACCGCTTTCTAGAAATAAGCTAAAGACGAGTTAGGCACATGATATAGAGAAGTCATATAGTTGATAACTTACCATATCAGAAGACCGTACGTAATATCTTCAGAATTACGAAGGACGCCGAACGAAGTCATTAAGATGAGCATCACAGAGCACTTTGAAGTCTGTTGTGGTCATAGACTCCTTTCCGTACAAAGTCACATACATTCATCGGCGTTAGTGCAATGGTTTCATAGACAACTAATGGCGGTAGTACTGAACGAGTATATCGGAATATAACAGCTTGCTATCTTCCCCTCAGTACCGGGTATAGGGTTTGAGTGCTATTACCTTTTTCATGTTCTTTTATAGGGGAGGGTGTTGATATGGTATTGGGATTGGGATCGGTATGGCTTGGTGAGGATTTTGGCTAGTTTAAGGATTGTGAGAGTAGGTGATTCTATTATTTGATTGCTGATCATAATTTTTAGGTTCTTTGCTTTTAGCGTGGTAAAGAAGTAACCTCCATATCTCTACTCCCTAGCTTGCATGGCTATCGATACTACCCAGAAAGTATGCTTTTTGAAGGTAGGGCTGATTGAATAATCCGCAAATTTTCAACAAGCCACTATAATGGTTGAGGCAATGTGAATGAGATAAGAGCTCACGGAGGTGGAGCATTAGTGGTCAGGAGAAAGTCGAATACTCGCTAGAGCCGTACTTTCGCATAGCCAAGGGATCTGCGGTAATTTTCAAAATATCGACATCATTAAAGGGATATAACATATCGCCGAAGAAGCTGGAGTCAGGATTCCACTTGAAATCACTGCCAAACAGAAAGATGGACAGATTCTGTGGCGTTGTTTGAGTGACTCTAAGAGCTATTATGTCGATAATCGATTTCCAATATCTCTTTATCTATCTGGTTTCAGTATCTTTCAACCAGAAGACTTCTGAATTCCCAGCCGCTAGATGGTGGTGGTGGGTAAGAATTTGAGATATAGTGATCATCCGCCCAATATTAGCAAAGGAATCTTACATTAATGATGATAAAATGACAATTGTAAGACTCGGTAGAAGCTCGATAGTTCTAGAGTAGAAGACAGACTGTGGTTACTTACCCGTATTATAATAGATCCCCCCTTACTACGGATAATCGATAACTCGAGTTATAATAAAGGAAGGAATATTATTGGATCAAATGCATGCAGCCAATTTTGTGGGGTTCGATCGAATGGTATGGTTGTACAGCATATGTGAATAAAAGCTTAATTATAATATCATATCGTCTTCTTTTTATATTAAAGGATCGAATTTATATGGTTTTATGAGTAATAGCTTCCTTTGGTTTGGTTCCACTTATATCATAAAATTAACACATGGAAATTCATAAATAACAGTTATTGGTATATCCACAAGTTATTATTGCGGGTATCTTTTTCTTATTGCTGCTCATAGATGATGGGTTTATACTCGAGTACTTAGCGTCGGAGCTATTCTAGCGCCTCTTAGTAGATAGTAGTCTTGGTTACCCGAATCATCAACAACGAATCTCGACAACTTTCTTGCATCTTCACGAAAGACAATTTTTGCCTCTCACAAAGCAGATATCCTTCCAACACAATCAGCAATTAAAGTATCGGTTAAGCTGGAAATAAGATTGAACCAATATCTTTTCTACGGTCGAAGATGAACGTTTTGCTTCCATCTCAAGCATCAATCTTTTCATCACCTCACCCCATCCGTACCCCAAGTAAGGAAACGCCGCCCCTTCATGTCCTTTCGTAGTCAATACTGATAACTAATTGCAGTCTCTTCACACACAAATCTCAGAATGGGCAGTCGAAAACGAAAAGCCGACGACGATGGATTCGATGATAATATGTCCATTTCCCCTACAAATAGCCCCGCCCTAGCCACACGGCAAATAACCCGACCTTCCAAGAAAATCAGGGCCAACGAAATTAGCGGTCGTCCTCTTAGCCTTCCTCGTCTTCTCGAAACACTTGATGCTCAGTCGTTGAGATCAGTCCTTCAAACAATATGCGAAAGACACCCAGAGATCGGTTCGGAGATTGTTACTTCAGCACCAAGACCATCTGTGGCATCGACTCTCGGTATTCTTTTTAAATATCAGAACGAACTGCAGGAAGCTTTCCCTTATGGCGGAAGCCCCGGATCGGATTATGCCTACGATCGAGTCAAGCACCAGCTCACAAACCTTATTGATGCTTTAGTCGATTTCACACCCCATTACCTTCCACCGAATGAACAACAAACCGCTATATCCCTCAGCTTCCTTGATAGTGCGACCAAAATTGTTCACGATCTTCCGAACTGGAATAGTCAGTCTCATAAACATCACAAGGACAATGCATACGACGAGATTTCGAGAGCTTGGGCTTTGGTGATCAGTGAGGCTTCCAAACGTGGGGGAGGATTTCAGCTTCATTCTGGTGAATGGGACCAAACGCTTAATAGACATAATGAGCAGAGTGGAGGAAAGATGCAAATGGCAGTCAATGCACTGAGCTCAAATCTTGGTTGGATGGGAGGTAATTCTGGTATGGGCTCTGGAGAAACAGATTCTATCCGCAGCCAACTTCTTTCGGGTCGGTATGGTACTACCCAAAGTGTGCCAGTAGGAGGTCTCTGGTAAACTTAGGCGGATTCTTTGGTTCGGGTCATTTTGATACTAGGCGAATTCGTACATATGGGGTAGAGGAGATCATAAAAGATGATGGATGAGTTTTAGGGGGCATTAGATGGCATCTCACCGTATCGGCGTCCTGTTTTAATCATGGCACTCAACAAACGACAACAGTCACGAAGATTACGAAGATTCCCCATTTCCTTCTACTGTCCATCTGGAGCATGGGTTGGGGAGTTAGGGAACTATAGGGGCGGATTTTCATTTGTGCATTTGTGGAGGATACTTTGGAGGTGCCAATAATTCAACTGGCGTACTTCATTTGTCAATTTCTCTTTTGTAACATAACATAGCAACGGGTTAGCATTTTGAGAACTGATAACACATTTGAATTTCTGAATTACTATTATCTGATTTATGCTGATGAGACAGAAAAGTTACCTAACCAATAAATGCATTTATCTACACGTGATGTCGTGGATTAGCGCGTGTTATGATACATGACGCGAGCTGGAGACTTTGAGTGAAGTGCCTTCGCCATCAATACATAGATTTTGTCGCGACAAGACGCCATTATTAATTTACTTTACAGCCCCTATGAAGTTCGATAAGTAAACAATTGCTGAGCTTTCTTTTTCACAATGCCCGCGTAAGTGTTATGAAACGAGTTTTCTCAGCGCAATCATTAACAATCCTTAGTCCAGGCGACCAGCATAATGGTCGAGCAGTCACGAACCCATTTGAAGAAGTTAAACCGCGCATATCGGAATATACAGCACAAGAAATCGCCACATTACAAAGTAGACTAGAGAGGCAATTAGGACCCGAATATATTTCATCGCGAGCAGGACCATCGGGGCAAAAGGTTCACTACATCGCGGCGGAGAAATGTATTCAGCTTGCCAACGAGGTGTTCGGATTCAATGGCTGGTCGAGTCAGATTATCGAGACACAAGTAGATTTCGTGGATGAGAATGCTACAACAATGAAAGTTAGTTTGGGACTTTCAGTCATCGTGAGAGTTACGTTAAAGGACGGTACCTTTCATGAAGATGTGGGGTATGGACATATTGAGAATTGTAAGGGAAAGGCGGCGGCTTTTGAGAAGGCGAAGAAGGAGGGAACGACGGATGGATTGAAGAGGGCGTTGAGAAACTTTGGGAATGTGCTGGGTAATTGCATCTATGATAAGGATTATCTGAGTAAGGTTACAAAGCTTAAGGTGCAGCCTGTGAGGTGGGATGTCGAGAATCTACATAGACATTCAACATTTGCTCCACAGGTTGCGAAGAAGGAGATTGAAGCACCGAAGATGGCAGAGAAGACTCAGGCTCAGGGTTCTGGACCGGCGAGTTTAAGTTTATCAGGTATGTTCTGAAGGATGTGGTGGCAAAATTACGACTGACAGTGCATTAGGAGACGACACACTAATTGGAGATGATGAATTTGGCGGTATGTGGTTCATCAAGTACATAAAATAAAGCATGGCTGACAGTTGATAGACTTTGACGATGCCGATTTCAATGTTGATGATCCAAATTCACACCCGGATGAAGTTGCTCTTCCAGGCCCACGGACTGATTCACCTCATTTTAACAATGCCAGAAATAGTACCAATGCACCTCCGATCAATGCAGAAGCTTCAACCCAAATTCGACCTCCAGGACCCCCAGTTCCACCAGCCAATCGAGGACCATTGGTTCAGCCAAATCGTCCACCAGCACCGGTACCGAGAACCCCTAATGCTGGTCTATCAAGAGCAAGCAGTGCAGCAGGACTCAATGCTCGCGCCCCTCAAGATATAGTTCAACCCAACCGTCCCATCAACCTCGTCACCACCGTCCCCGGCCGCGTCCTCAACCAACCCAACCGACCTCAACTCCCACCCCAACCCCAACCAGCCTCCGGCCCTCCATCCCCATCCCGCAATAACGACATAACCGACGAAATGCCCCCTCCAGGCGCCGGCTTTTTCTCCGCTCGCGCCGCCACATTCCTCCCCCAAGACCACCCCTATTCAGAAGTCCCTTCCGTAAACCTCAACCTCCCCGCCTTTAACCCTAACCTCGAATCTCCCTCCATCCGTCGCACCCCCGGCGTTGATCAAAAATCCTCCAAACCACTCTCTCGCGATCTCAAACCCATTCCAGCTTCTCAATCTCAAGCTCCTGCTACTGGTGTTCCAGCTCAACCCCAACCGGCTTCTCGTCCCGTCATCGCTGGAAATCGAAACATGAACCTAGGAAATCCGCAATTAGATGCCACGAGAAGAATTGGAGCGCCAGGTAGTCCGAGCCCAATGAGTATGGGAAATAGGAATAGTTATAAACCGCCGACGATGATGAAGAGACCGATGGGAGATGCGAATAGAGCTCCTTTGACGGATTTGCAGACGAATGGTAATGGGTTGCCGGGAGATGCGAGTGGGGGTGATTCGAAGAGGCAGAGGTTGAATGGAGCGTGAATATAAATCATTTTTAGTTGTGCGACAGACATACACAAGGCATGGGAGTGGGGATGGGATAATGAAAAGTCTAGTCGTGATTGAGATTGGGATTAGAGGAGTTTGTGATGGGATGGAATGCCGAAGGACTTTCATATGGTGGGTGTCCAATGGTGTTTCTTGCTGGCGTTAGTCGCTGAGTTTTCTTGTACCATGAGCAAGAAGGAATTTTGCTTTCATGGAATGTTCACGGCTATGGCTAAATTGTTAGGTTATACTACCAAGGTGCTGAAGATATCACAGGGCACTTTGCTTTCAAAATTATTTCGATTTATAGACGCTTTTATTGACATGTTTGTGAATTGCTGTTCTTTTCCTATAAAGTAGTTGTAGAAAAATGCAAGTAGATATTAAGCTCCCGAATGTTTTTTTTTTCAAAATGAAGTGTATGCTTTTGGACACACTATACATGCAATCCACGCCATCGCGCCTAAACGCCAACCATGCACTCCCTCATTCATATATCTTCGTGTACCCCATTGCTTTTCTGCCAGAGCCCATCCATTGTACACCCTCTACTTCACAATCAAAACTGCCGAAGGAACTAAGCCTGCCTCCTTCAAAGTCTTCCCGAAGTCCAATGCACCCTCGAAGGTCTTCTTTGGATATGTCGTCGTGAAACTGCTAATCGCGCCAACCTCGCCCTCGAGTTGCTGAGAGATCTCGAAGAGGGTCGTGTCAACCGGGTAAGTCTTGGTCATTGACCCAGTCGCAGTCTGTAATCGCAATCGAGCTTCGGTATGGATTCTTGGCGCGCCAGTCGACGCCGCAGGAGTAGGCGCAGGGGCAACTTTCTCCACGGGAGGAGCGCGTCCTTCGCGGAGAGCTTTGGCAGCTTCGGCCTTGAGGCGTCGATCCTCCTTATCGGCGGCGATCTTCTCCTGGATGCGCTTCTTGGCGAGGACGTCGGCGGCTTTCTCGGCTCGTTTGGCTTGGGCTTCTTTGACTTGTTGGTCGCGGGCGAGCTTCTCCTTTGCGTCTGATACTTCCTTGGTGGACTTCTGCCGGATTTGCTGTGGAGAATTGGAAGGTTAGTGTGGTGCGGGGTAGGTGTGGATGCGGATGTGGAGGGGCAGATGTGGAGTCGATTCTATACATGGGAATGGGAGTACACGAACCTCGTTTCTCTTGGCCTCCTCTTTGTCGATGATAGCCTGCTTGCTTTTCTTTTCCTTGGACTTTGCGAGAAGTTCCGCGAGCTTCTCCTTCTTCTCTTCTTCGGTCAAGGGGGCGATTTCTTCGGTTGATTGCTCAAAGTTCTCGTGTTGGCTGTGTGCATATTGTTAGGTGAAGTGATGCTTGGTAATTGGGGCGAAGGGTGAATCTTACGTGCGCTCAGCGTGAGCCTGAACCTGCAACATGGATCTGAACTTCTTGCCGCAATCGGTGCACACCATGGAATTTGCCTCCTCGCCTTCTTTGAGCGGCGCCGGTTCTATGTTGGGATTGGTCTCATCGGACTCTGGCTGTGCAACAACTTCTGAAGCTCGTAAACCTTCGATCTCCTTGTCTTGATTATCTTCGAGCCATTGCAGGGCTCCGTTTACTGTAACAAATAATAAGTATATGGGAATACATAGATAGATAACAAGGATATGGAAGTTGGAATATATACATACACCCTCCAGTCTTCTTGACAGCAATTTCAGCACGCTCTTTATCAAACCCCATTTCGATAAGCTGTTGAAGGTCACTAGGTGTAGACATGATTGTTGTGTTGTGTAGTGTAAATTAAAGGTTCTATCTTTTTGGATTGTAGTTGTGAATTGTGTCGAAATGTTATAACGGATGTAAGAGAGAGAGCAGGGTTGTGTGGATTAATAATTAATGATCCTGAACCGAGCTACCTAGTACTCAGTATAGTTTCAGAGCTAGAAGACACTAGATATAGGGTGAATTTGTTTGATGTCAATTGATTGAATTTCTCATAAACTGTTATAATCTGATTAAAATCAAGACTGGTATGACATTGAACAAATTTGTATGTACTGGTAGAATACCTATGGATTCTTCCAATGATGTCAATTTCCATCTAGTGTGTATAGATAGATATTCTAGCGAAACGAGGAAACCTCTGAATGATATATATAAAGTATATATAATGACAAGTTATAGAGAGGATTATATAGAGTATATATAAAATACACTAGAGAATCGATCGAGGAAGTCCAGATCTGAGTAATAACTACCTAGTAGTTAATTGTACACTTGATGAATATGAACCAATGAGATAGATCTTTAGATCTTTACAATTAACTACTTCATTGGAACCATTGTTATTATTGTTATCAAACAGAGTAATTCACCCCTTTCTTGACCTTTTGTCTATTCCTCAAAATTACAAATACATACTATACCAACCAGACTCTTCTCTCAACTTCAAACTCTTTAATTACTTGAGTTATTGGCTACAACTACAGACCAATAGGGAATGACAAACAACCACCCCATCCACCTTCTTTGTCACTCGGACTCTCGTCATTACATACCGGTATCAATCACCCTTGAGCGAAACACTTCTATCCTAAATAAATAATTTCTTAAAATACACTTCATATCTTCTTAGAAATCCATAACCTTAACAACAATTTTGAAGCAACAGTGCAAATACGCCCATCATGTCCGTCGAGATCGATTCGCAAGAGCTTGGCTTTCATCGTATGCTACATCTATACTACATCTATTTGGGGTTGAAGGACACGAGATGAGTGATTCTAACATGTGGCAGGTCCTTTTACCACGGAGGTATCGCAAACGTTGAGAATCAGAAACCCTAATCATACTCCTGTTGCTTTCAAGGTAGAGAAATCTTCTGCTGTGTTATTATTTTGCTTGGTATAATTTCTAACCTCTTTTTTCTCAATAGGTCAAGACTACTGCGCCCAAACAGTTCGTTCTACCATACCTCACACTTCGAAGCATCGATCTAATATTTGTGAACAGATACTGCGTGCGACCAAATTCTGGTAAACTGGAGCCAGGAAGAAGCATAGATGTCACTGGTATGCGCCGATCTGGATCGAGGAAAATACGTGGTTGGGGCTAATGACATTGGGGCAGTTCTTTTACAGGCGATGAAGGATGAACCACCTCTCGATGCGAAATGCAAAGACAAATTCCTAGTTCAGTCCGTCGAAGTTACACCAGATAAGGAGTTCGCAGATTCAACCTCGAGCGTACGATACCCGCGATATTTACTATATGGAGATCTTCCTGATACGGAGTTCATGCTGACTGGGGGACATATATAGCATGTCGATCGAGCAGAGAAGAGCCAAATTCAGGAGAAGAAGATTCGAGTTGTTTTCCTACCACCAAAGTCAACAGGAGGAGCAGCACTTACACCTCTGAGAAATGGCGTTAATGGAGCAAATAGCACGGTATGTTCTGGTCCTTTGTGTGACATTCCCGAGGACGGAGTTATCTAACACCAGCATATCTAGCTCTCAACCCCCGACACTGCCCCTCCAGCCTACCGATCCCCGTCCCCCGAAGAACATTTCACCCCTGCAGCCACTGGCAATCGTGTTGTATCCGGCAATCCAGGCCCAGCACCCTCCGTTAGCGTAAACGATGAACCGATCGGCAACCGCAACCTCGGCGATGCACGCTCCTCCGCTTTCAATCCCTCATCCTCAGTTGGCAGAGAAAGCAACGCATCTGTCGTCACCGCCCCAACAGGAATCCCTAGCTCTGTCGAAGAACTCCAAGCCCAACTCGCCGAAGCAAAGAAAACCATCGCATCCTACGCCGAACAAGGCGGTGTGAGAATGAGAAAAGTAGCAAAGGGAGAAACGTCAAATGAGACGGTTAATGAAATTGCTACTAAGTTGCAAGGAGTAGAAGGTGTACCTGTACAAATCGTCGCGGCTTTATGTTTGCTCAGCTTCCTACTCGCATACCTATTCTTCTAGTCCAAGGTTGGGTTGCCTGCTTGCTCGCATCCGACTTCTGGGTTGTAGTTTCTGGTTTCTGGCTTTGATGGGTTACAGCATTTCACCTCTTTCTCCATTATTGTATAAGAGGACGAACACGAGGCGAGATAATCAACACTGGATTCTCCCCGGTGCTCCTAGGTGCTGTTTCTGTGGTTCTGGTACTCTCAGGTACTGGTTTCTTAGGTTCTAGACCTCTTCTCCTCTTGTACTTTTGTAAAAGCACAGGTACAAGAAAAGAAACCTCTAATTTACGACAATTCTTCCAAAATGCTCCTTTCCTTCCTGTTGATTTTCCTTTTTTCCTTTTTGCTTGACAGCTTTCACATTACAAATCTCCCTTGTATTCTATTGCTTTCTCTGCGAATTTTGCATTCTGCCAAGTTTTTTTTTTCCTTTTGTTGTGGTGATTGAATTGGAGAGGGGGTTTGTTTATCAACATAGCATGTAATTACTGCCTTGGTAATTTTGTATGAGGGAGGAGAGGGGAGGGGAGGGGTGTAAAAGGTCCTTGGGCTGGGCTGGGCTGGGCTGGGCTTAATTGGTGATACGATATCATCTGTATGTAGCAAGAGGGGTCGAGTAGGTAGTGCTGAAACGATAGTGAGTTAAGCAATCAAAATCAAAGCCCAAATCCCAATTACATTACAAATTATAACGCGAAGAAAAGACTTTTGATATTATGGTAATGTATGTACATATATATGATACGTGTGATGCATATATGCACCGAGAAATGTAGTCTATAACCTCATCTCATATTCATATATACAAGTACTCATAGTCATTATTCCCCCATGCACTCAAAGGAGCACCGCAAACTGAAATGAAATCCCATCTAAAAACACCCAACCTAAGCTTGCACCTCCTGCTGCGTCCATCCTCCCACTTTCCGGCCCCCCTCCTTCCTCTTCACCCTGCACGTCATACCCACCTCCCGATCCCAGATAAATTGCCATATTACATAGATCCAACTCTCGTGTCTGGGCAACTCTGCATAGAACTCCTTGGCCATCTCGTTCAGCGCAGGGAGTCGTGTCCAGGGCACCGCGGGAAAATCATGATGTTCGTTATGTAGTCCCACATTGTAGGTGAAGAAATTCAAAGGTCCGTAGTAGGAAAATGTCTCGGGGATCTCAACGCCAGTTTGGGGGTCCCGTGCGGCGAGCGGCTGCTTTTCAAATACATAGTGTTCGGCGATGAAGTGCCCGGCGCAGGGGTGTAGGGAACCGGCGAGGAAGGCAGAGAGGATGAGGTAGAAGAGGGGGTTGTAGGATTGGCTGAGTTTGACGAGGAGAATGTCGAAGAGGACCTGCGTCAAGATGTTGAGGATGTGGATGGGGGTGAAGGGGACGGCGTACACGAAGATGGGCCGGATGGCGTAGAAGAGGATTTGGAAGGTGCAGAAGAAGGCTTTGCCGAGGAGGGAATCGAGGAAGAGGGCTTCGAATCGTGTGGGGAGGTCGGTGTCCAGGCCGTCGACGCCGAGGGATTTATGGTGGGTTAGGTGGTAGGGCTTTTGAGGTTTTAGTTTTGTTTCTTCGATTGGAAAGTTCTGGGGATGGGGAAGGGTGAAGGGGAAAGGGGGGGTATATGTATACGTACTCTAAACGAAGCAGAATACGGAATTCCAATAGGTAAATTAGCAAAGATAGCCAGCGCCCGGTTAAGATTCGCATTCTTAAAAGCCAAATTGTGAGAAATTTCGTGAATGGCGAGGAACAAGTTTTGATTTGCAGTCGCTCCGATTATATAGGCAGTGAGGAAGAATTTCCACGATAGGAACGGTGTGTTGCGGAGGAGATAGGCGCAGAGGATTTGGATTGATACGACGAGCAGGACAACATATTTAGTGAGGGGTTCGGGACCGCAGAGCTTGGTTACCTATTGCATGGGGAGTTAGTATTTGGGTTTTGATTTTAATGGGGAAAAGGTATGAGGATTGGGGGGATATGGATCAGTACCTCGGGATGGGCTTTGATAATTGCCAAACGTCTGCTTCGGTGAGGTTCCTCGGTATATGTCCAGAAGAAATCATGTTCCTGTACGTCAATCTGTGAAGGGGTAGTATCGTCTTCATTCTTTGCGGAAATGGAATCGGAAATGGAATCGGAAACTCCTGCTCCTCCTCCTCCTCCGTTAACCCTTAATCGTGGAGTCGCAGATCCATTGGATGTCGAGGTCGTTATTGTAGATGTGGCTACTGGTGGCATGATGATGATGATGATGATGGATTGTATGTCGTTATGCCACACAATTATTGGGAGTATCGTGGGCGAGTAACTTTTTTGGGTGGTGTGGTTATGTAAAAGAATGTTGAGATCTTGTCTTGACGAGCTCGAGTTTACCATTCCACTACGTCTCGCTACGTTTCGAAAGCCATGTGGGTAGTTCTCTAAGTTTTTCAGGGGTACCAAGGTTTAAAATGGGGCGGAGAACTCCAATTAAGTGCCGCGAATTAGGAAACGCGTATCGTTTATCAGTGCTTATCGCGTTTATTTTAGATAGCCGCGTTCAGTACGCCACTTCAATCTTTTTGGGAATGATATTTGGTGTGAGGTGTGAGGTGGGGAGGAATACGAATTAGATCTTCATGACTAGTGTAGGAGAGTGTTTTTGTGTTGTATTTATAAGTTTTATCTGGGAGTAGTGTAAATTGCGTGAGATGAGAAGATTCAGTATCCCAAATTCAATAACCCAAAACTCGCACCTACTCGAAGATAAGTGTCTCGAGTGACCTTATAGTCTAGCCCAGACAAATATGAATGATTTTTCGCCCCCAGGAGGATTTGAGTTCTATCATCCCATCTTTATTTTAGGCCAAGACTCCTTTTTGTTGCATATCTACAAGAATTTCTGAGCACTTCAGAATTGATTGATTGATTGATTTAATTTACATCCATCTTCAGTCTAAGACTATATAGGACGGCTAGACCCTATAGGCACTAGCAGATAACTTTTTATTTTACAAAAATAGATATGTTCGATTTGGGAAAGTAAAAACAAATGCTGGGGACCAATGCCTGCTTATTATATACGTTGTATATAATAAAAAAATATGAATATCAAGAGTTATAAGAAAGTTATCCTTCTATCCTCTCTTTCCTTTATTATTACTTTTTCCTCTTCTATTACTATTTCTTCCTCTATTTCTTTTTGTTCAAAAGCTCTTGCTAAGTGCTATGCCCTTGTAGCAATTTTGGTGATATTGATGAATTTGATAACTAGTTCAATTCCTACTTTTGTATATAATAGGAATTGTATAGTAATCTTGGATAATAGTATATTTTTGAATATTTCTTTTCTTTCTGTTTTATATATAGGACAACTAATAAGGAGGTGTTGTGGTGCCTCAATATTACTATATATACATTTGTTATTAATGAATTTAAACCGATATAAATAGGATTTAATATATCTATAGCCTATTTTGAATTGAAAGTATGCGCTAGCAGTGTTTCGACTAGTTCCGCTTAGTAATTTGATTTTAGATCCAATTTTCTATGGAAATAGCTTCGAGTATGTAGATGGGGATTGATTTGATTTAAGTTCGTATTTATTAAGGATGGAAAGCCATTGATCTGAAGTGTATTGTTTGATTATTATATCTAGTAAACCAAAGCTAGTTTCATCTGAGATAGATCGTTTTGTAATTACTTCTTTTATTAGCTTATCTGCTAATTCATTCCCTTTTATTGATATATGTCCTGGGATCCAATTTAATGATATCTCTGCTCCTTTTGCTTTAATAGCTTTGACTGCTTTGATTGCTTGTATTTGATATGATTGTCCTGGATGATCTGATAGTATTTTCAAATGGTATAGGCCTGCCTGATTATCTAAATATATTTTGAATTTATCGCTGTGTCAAGCAATTAAACTTGCATATTCAATAGCTCTAATAACTCTACAAAGTTCTTCATTGTATACTAATTGATTTATACCAATATTGGTTTGCTTTTGATATAAGATTCGATTGTTTGATTATATTGCAATTATATCTACACCAATACCTATACCTTCTTGTGTAGAAAAAGCATTGATATATATGTAAATAGTATTTTTATCTCTATACTTGAAAATCAGATTATGAAGGGTAGCAGTATTTTCTTTTGAAGCATTACTGATATTGACTCTAAATAGAATTTCCTTTTTCTATAGGGGAAAGTTGAAATAAATGATCTTTTTTATTAAGAAAGGATCAAAATCCTTACTTATTGATTCTTTAATTCTATCGAATTGAATTGGCTTGTATAGTTTTCTTTGGGGGGTAGGGATTACCTCCAAATCAGTTTGATATTGAGCTAATATTCCTTTTTCGATATTGATTAGATAATTTGACAAAAGTTTAGCTAAACGGAATGTATATTGCCTGATATTTGAATCTAATCTGATTTTTGGAAGGTTTAAAGTTACTTTTACCTTTATTGGAAGGATTGGGGTTGTTTTGAATACTTCTAGTATCTTGCGAAGGGCTAGGTTTTGAAGTGATTACATTATATTCTTGAAATAAGTTTGACCTCTTTACCAAATAATTAATCTGTAATCTACTATATTGATAATACTTGCTATATACAATTATCTTAAGGCTTTAGAACTAAAGCCTTTCTTGATATTTGCTAATCTAGCTATTCGATAAAAGGCTCCTTTGGCTTGAGTGATTCGGATATTAATATGTTGATTGAATTTAAGATTTGGATCAAATTATATTCCCAGTTATTTGATTAGTGTTTGAGACTTAATTGTTTCAGAATTAGGTAATATGATTGAGTGTTCTTTTGCTGATTTAGATGCTGAGAAATGTATTAGTTCCGTTTTTGCTAGATCGAATTGAATAGTATTCTTTGCGCTTAATTCGTAGATTTGATATGTTGCTTTTTCCAAGGATTTAATATTCTTTTTCCAAATAGATAAATTTGTAATTAAAGCAATATTATTTATATAGGAGAGGAATTTTACTGAATTGGATAAAAATAGATCTTTAGTATATATAAGGAAGAGGATTGGAGAAATTGGACTGCCTTGTGGTATTCCAGTAGTAATTGGTTTGAATGATTCGATTTGATTATTGAAGGATAATTTGAGCTTTCTTTGTTGAAGGAATGAAGCGATCCAGGATATAAGATTTATAGGTAGTTTTAACCTTTTACAGATGTCCAAAAGCCGATTTTTTGAAACATAATCAAAAGCTCCTTTTATATCTATGAATAATATTAAGATCTTTTTGTTAAATTGTTTATTTCGTTCGATTTCTGTTGTTAAAAGTAATATTATATCAATTGCTGATTTCTTTTGTTAATCTCCAATTTGGCTTTTATAAAGTAAATGAGTAATTTCTGCTAAATAATCTAATTATTGAATTAGAATCCTTTCGCTTATTTTCCCTAGATAATTTAATAACACAATAATTCTATATGCTTTTGGGGCTGAATAATCAGGTTTTGAAGGTTTCTTTAAAATAGCTCTGATAGCTTGTTTCCAGTATATTGGATGATATCCTAGGTTGAGTAGTTTGCTGAATAAGGTAAAAAAGATATAAAGTATTGTTTGATATATTTTTATAATAATTTCTTGAATGATTCCATTTGGACCAGGGGTTTTCCTTTGTATTTTTGTAGAGCAGGTATTACTTAATTTAATTTGAGAAAGGCTAGGCTATTCCCATTTTTTGTAATGTTTATATTTTTTTTATTGTGGTTCTGGGGTAATAGAAGAAGGTGGGAAAAGAGTCGATCTGAAAGTAGAGTATTTTCCTTTAAAAGAGTTTTCTATTGAAATATCCGGTATTCTTTGATTTTGAAAATCCTTTGTATATGTCATTACTTTAAATATAGTTTGTATATCTTCCTTTTCTAAGAATTCATTTCAATAATTCTTTTTTGCAGTTTTGATAGCTTGGAAATACTTATTTCTAACTATTTGATATTCTTCCTTGAAGATAAAATTCTCTGAATTTGATTCAATCAATAGTTTTGATTTTCCTAGCTTTTTTCGGAGACTTTTCAGTTCAGGTGTCCATTATGGTTTAGCCTTTTTATTCGATCTGATTTTAGGTATATATCTTTCTGTTGCCTTTATGATAATCCTAATAAGCTTATTAACTACCTGATCTAGGATTAATAAATAATTGTTTCTTTTCTTTAATAGATTCAATGAATCTTTTTCAATTGAAGTTATTGAATCTAAAATTAAAAGAATATAGGAATTTGAGGATTCTGATTTTAGTATTGATTCAAACTTTTCCCAATTGGTTAGTTTTATATTGTATTTAACCAATAATATTATATTAGATGTATTTTGTATTTCTTTTTCTTTCAACTCGAATAGGATCTTTGAATAATCAGATCCTATATCAGCAAATGTTTGCCAATTTTGGATTTGAGTTGAAATTCCTTTTATAGCAAAAGTGAGATCTAGAACACTTGGTTTGATTTGATTGATCCAATAATATGTATTAGTTCCAGGCTCATTTAAAAGCATAAGATCTTTATCTTCCAACTATTCAACAAGGCAATCGGCATTTCCGCTTTTGTTGGAATAAGGGTCCCATCAAAGGTGATAGATATTAAAATCACCTAAAAGAATTGTTTCTTGTATAATAGGTATATGGAATAGATATCTTTCGATTATATACCCTTTCTCTCTTGTTTGATCTATTTTATTATAGATATTGAAAATTTGGAATACTTTATTTTCATTCTAAACATTGAGTATTTGTATATCTGGATCTGTAGGTGAGTTAGCGGCTAGGTTGATTATAGATTGAAATGATTTTGATATATATAATAATGTGTGTAGCCGAATATTCGGATTGAATCTTGGGAGTAATTGAGTATAGCTGAAATGGGAAATGAACCTTGAAGTTGAATAATCATTTCCATTTTTAATGATCCAAGGTTCTTGAATGATAATGAGATCGATATTAAGCTTGATTACAAGTTGTAAAGCGTTTTCTATAGCTTATAAACTTTTATTAAGGTTTATTTGAAGGATTCGTATATTGGCGTAACTTATTGATTGGTATTGTAAGATTTTTGTGGAATTGCTTGATAGATTTCACAGGTTTTGGAATCTGCTGTATAATCTCCTTTGCAATTAAAGCATTTAGAAGCAAAATGTTAATAATACTTTCTTTTGATATTATATACTATACAGAGATACTCTATTATAATATATTTGCTATTATATAGTCTATAAGAAGGATCTCTTTTACAATATATATCTTGGTATCCAAAGCCTTAGCATTTATAGTATTATATATTTGGTTTGGATTTGTAGAACTTTTCTACTCTTATACTGACTTCTACAATATACAATCGTTTGCGAATAACTAATTCTGCTTCTTGTTTTGTTGCAAATACAATTATTATTGCTCTTTCCCATTGATTAGCTCTTTTGAAAAGTGGTGTAAGCCAAAAAGGAGTTTCTATTGATTTGAAATCAGGGTTAAAGGTTTTGATTTCCTTTAGAATAAGATCCATTCCTTTTCTTCCTGAGAATTCCTTTATAGGGATTTTGTGAATAATGACTTTGTGCCATTCTTGATCTTTTTGAGTTCTTTCGAATTCAATAACATTATTCCAGATTGTCTTTTTCTCTAATAGGAATTGAGATGTGAATAGGTAATTTGTAGTAATTACCATATTGTTATTAACAGACAAAGTTATTACTGTTACTATAGGACCTTTAATTCCTGCTTTTTGAAATGCTTCATTTATTTGATTTCTTATTATTAATAGCGAGAAAAAATTGATATTTGGAATATCAGGTTTGATTAGAATTAGACGTTTTTGAATGATTTCAGTCTTTTTCTCAACAGGTATAGATTTGATGATTTTTCCTTTAGTTACAAGGTTCCATTCCCCTTCTTTTGTTATTGATGTGTAGATCGGTTTGATGTTTTTTATTGGTATTATACTTGGTAAAGGGCCTTTAGTAAGAGCTTTGGCTTGGGATTCGATTTTCCGTGTAACTGATTCCAGGTGAGTGATTTGGGAAGTGATTATATTGGAAGCAATAGTAAGTTTTCCTTTTTCGGTATATTCTCTGAAGATCTCAAGGAGATCTAAGAGTTTTGATTGTTTATTGTATAATACTGCTAAAGTAGATACAGTAATAATAAGGTTTTTAGCTTCTAAGATTGCTTCTTTAGCTATAGTTAGATTGGTATTGGTTTGTAGATATTTATTTTGATTGTTTAGAGTATTAGAGGGACTACGTTTCCTGTTTAGAAGGAATGGGCAGTGAGAGTTGGCAGAAAATTCTGTATTTGATAATTGTATTGCAAATGGATTATCGAAAGGATTGAAGTCGCTTGCTCTGAAAGCTGTTTTGAAGGGTTGAGTAGTTTCTGAGATAGGACTGGATATATCCATCTGAGTTTGAAACGGCAAGGGCAATTGATTGGTTTGAGTGGGTATACCCAGAGTAATCGTTGGATATATGTTCGGGATTATAGTGATATCAGACAATACTTCTATAATGGATTCACTCATTTCGAATATATAGATTATCCGTTAGAGTTAAAGGAAATTGTATATAAAGAATTGTAGATCCATTATTAAGTTGTAATAGATCTTGATATATATGTGTGTTTTAGGGTGCTGACAACAGTATCACAACAACTACTGATCAGAATCGCTTGGGGGCAATTGCAATAGATTTATTTTAATCTTTTTGGTCTAGATCAACCTTTAAAGAGGTGTATTTCGAAGAAAAAGTTTCCTGATTTTTGTTGTGATAGAGCATTTCAGAAGATTGCTCTCAAAATTCTATTTCCACTACTACCACCCTTCCCATACCTATCTAATTTTTGATAAAAGTATTGAGTGTTATGTGATCACAACTAGGTTTTGATACATCGGATAGGTGTTCGTGATTGTCAGTTTCAGAGATGATGATTAGATGATATTAACTCATGACCTTTCGTGTCGACACCCACAATAACACATCTACATCAATTTTCCAAGAGTCTTAAATGAAAGCTTTCAAAAATCTAACTTTCAGACTGTAATTCTCTTTACTCTTACTCGACTTTTCGTTGAGATAATGGGTATTGTATGTCTCACATAGTGCTCTCAATAAACTAGACGAGTACTCTCGAATTTCTCAAATATCATCAAATTTCACTATACTGTTCTTTTATACAAAAGCCTACTTACTGAAGGCTGCTGAGTACCTCAAGTAAAGCAGTTTTGAAAAATGCAATGATTCGTTCTATTAATCAGAATGATGCTCAGTTGATTAATCCTCAAATATTTATCCTGAATGATCATTGAATCCCCCTTATCGTAAGCGAGAAAATGAAACAGCCGAAGATTGGCAGATAGAGAACCACTCTGTCATTTTGAAACAAACCATAAGGGGTGAATGTAAACTCTGCCTCCCAGGCCGATCAGAAGCCGTGCTCTGGGTATATGTTCGACTTTAAGTTTAGGCCTAGGGCTAGAATTTCCGCCGTTTAATCTGAAGACTGGATATTGAGCCTCATATATAAGCTACGGCAGCTTCTACCAGTAAATAATACCACTCTCGAATCAGTCACCACATTTACTCTTCACCTTTCAATGTAAGTCGTTCTATTCTTTTATGTGATATGAATTTCTTTAGTATTCGAACATAGAATAGAAAGTTTTTTTTACCTGCTCTCCGTTGAATAATTTTTACTTAGGTATTTTGATATCCCAATCAAATGGTAGGGTTGATGCACCTATGTATGAATCAAACCCCTGCCAGTATTTTCATTATCGAGAAGTCCCCCAAATTCTGCAGACTAATTACCCGCAACCGAAGTATTGGACGGCCTTTACTCTTCAAATAAGCAGGCGTCATATTTTAAAACGAAAGAAATACATCTTAGTGGTAGAACACAAGCCTCAGTTGAGGAAGAGGACAAAGACCACTAAAATGTAAAGGTTTTACATGGTTCCTAGACCATATGAGTGTGCTTCAAGGCCGGTCACGGTGATCCGGATCTATTCATCACTAGGTATTTTTCGTTGTTATTCCTGCTTTTATTTTTGAACAACCTCTGAGTTAGTGATTACCGTTGAAGAGCTATCAATTCATGCGGTCATCATACTATTGCATAGATTTATGGATGATCGCAACCCTTCGATTAATTATTAGGGGTGGTCTTGGAAGATTACAAATGAAATCTGTTGCTATGCGAAATTATGATCAATTGTAGATATTCTTTATAGTTCAAGTTGGCTTGTTGCCTTGTATGAGATATGGTACTGCGATTATAGCCAATAGTCTAATTTTGATTTGTTACAAGTCTCTGTGAAGAGATAGATATACTTTGATGTGAAGTTGTGAATGACTATTATGGATTGACTGTCATTACTCTTATTGAAAAGAAAAAGGAAAATATCGGGCCATTATGTTTCACAATATAGTTGATTCGATCAAGATACTTGAAAGCCATAGTGCATTGTTGTGTATTTGCCTGCCAGATGACATCTATCCATCAAATTTTGAAGGGATTAGAGTTTGAATCTCTTTTGAGAAAGTAAATGTTTTCGTATAAGTATACATACATATTAAATTGTAATATGTATTCATACAAACCAATTAGCTTTATCATGAACAATTAAAAAAATAGAAAGTCCAAATCCCATGATGATCATACATCAATGTGGGACATTCTCGGTTAGCTACTCATCAACCTTGTTTCGAGTATGTACTTGAGTAGTATTTTAAAGCAACTACTTCTGCTAATTCCATATCAAAAATATATCAGCTCTTCTTAACCTGCCTGTTATACATCCAGATAAATCTAATCAACAAATAAATAGCCTGAAACAGGGGATGTGGTCCAGTGGTTAAGACACTTGACTCCTAGTGTGATCTTCTGATGCACCCCATGATCACTCGTGATCATGACGGTACATACAAACAGATCTACCGTGAGTTCATGAGATGATAGTTCGAATCTATCCATCCTCGTTTTTTTCTTAAAGTTTATTCCATTCTACTACTCGAGTACAGATACTTAATACCAAGTAATCATCGTGGGGCGAGTGCTTCCTTTTCTAGAGGGTAGATAATGTGGGGTGAAGTGCTAAATTCTTTCTCTTTCTCATTAACTCTATGGTATATGCCATCAGTCTTCGTTATGAGATATAGCCAATGGTATGACAACAAAAACCAGGGGGATGTGATCCAGGGACCAGTGGTAAGGCACCTGATTCAAAGTTAGATCTTGTGACGCATCAGGAGTCTTTCGGGATCTAGGAACTCCAAGATCTGCCGTGAGTGTACGTAGCGACAGTTCGAATCTGTCTATTTCTATGTTCTTTTGTTTTCTGAGAGTATTTTGTGGGGCGCGGGGGCGCACTCCTTCTTTCTGTTAAGAGGGTTTGCGGGGGCTGCGGGGTATTTGTTGCTTTGGTTGCTCGCCATATTTGGCACATATCGCTAGCCTCTAATAGAGTGGCATAGCTTAAAAAAAGACAACAAAAGCTAAGGGAATGTGGTCTAGTGGTAAGATACTTGTCATGAAGTGGGCTTTTCGAGCTTGGTTACGCGTCTTTTGGGCAACTCTTATGAGTAGTAACTTCACCTTTAGAACATGAGGCGATAGTTCGATTCTATCCATTCCCATTTCTTTTGAATATTCTTTTGCTTGGTGATCTGATTCTTATGGCTCGGATAGTCATGTTTCTTCCTCTGATTTTGTCGGTTAACGAAGTGAGGAGGGAGACCTTCCTTAATCGCACAATCATGTTCATCCAGCTATGCTATATCATGCAATTTACAGAGATCAACCACCAAACAACTAACAGATGATGTGGTCCAGTGGTAAAGACGCATACTCGAAGTGTGCTGTGGCCAGGAGACTCTCAAACGGATTTCGCGCCAGGAAAAAGAGTCAAACTACCACAGCTACTTTGAGTGTATGAGACGATAGTTCGATTCTATCCATCTTCGGTAGCATACTACTAAGCATAAGGCTTTTTTTGAACCGCTTACTGCAAGCAGGGTCATAAAGCATTTCATTTTGACAAACATATTCAAGATTCAATGATATTGACATTTGGCGTGGAGATGTGGCCTCATTGATATCATATAATCATGCAAGCATTACAAAATATGGCAAGAGGTATCTGTGATACGGCTGCGTTTCCTACTGATATGCAGAATATTACGACGTCTTTTCATGTCCGCCACGTCATAGAGGCATACTGACTAGCTGTTCCACAAGACATAGAATCCATTTCCATGGTCATTTCGGTGCGACTCTCGTCTATTCGGCAGCCCCCTTTTTGCTTCATCTTATGGTGTCCCCCATCCTCCGCTTCATTATCAATTTTTATCTCATCCCATCATAATACCCACTTCGTACACCATAATGTTCCACACTGCCGCTCGTACCCACGAAAAGGACTCTTTATCGAGTATAAGTATAAGGTTATAACCGGAAGATTCAATCAATCTTAATCCTCGCTAAGCGAACCTCAGCAAAATTCTCAAGTTTGGATATTCTAATCTTTTCTTTTTGACTCTCAATTTATGATTGGGAATGTTATTACGAATCTATTTACCTATTTTTTACTAGGTAGAGATCAGTAGATGATAAAGGGGTTCTTCCCAAAGGCGACATCAAATCGAACTCACTCTCCATGATGATGTGATGATCCTTTGACCCGGACAAATATACACATACATGGAAATCATACCTTTCTCGACATACGAATAGCACATAACCTGCCTCTGAAAACGAGTGGCTCTATGGGCTATGGTCCTTGGGTTTCGGATCATCAATTTGACAACAGAGCATTCCATTAGAGAGGCGGTGCTACCATTACAGTAGTTCGGGAGAAGTAATTTGGACCTATTGCGCCTGTCATTTTGGATTTTTGGGGAGGAGGAAGGTGAGGGATTTTGTTCCTACGATATTTTTTTATGAATATAATTGGCTTATTTTTGTGTGGGAGTTGAAAAATAAGACTCTTTCCTACTCGTGAAGACAAAATAAATCTATTTGGATAACATACTAGCTTGATACAAAACAAGCGCCATTCTCTTAGAAAACATGCCTACGGATCCAAGGAGTTCAAGCCTGTGGGCGATGTAGCTTCTTTGGCACCTGGAACATACTGTTTGGAGAATGTAGACGAGGTGTATTTATCACAGAAGTCACGCTATAAAGAAATGATGGATTAGCATCGGTGTTCCACTTAAGTTAGTTTAGAAATAAATACCATGCTCATTTGGATAAGAGAAGAGGTTTGAGTTGGTATATCTTATAGAAATACTCGAGTAAAAACTGGGAAGAACAAATATAGATAGACACTATCGCATCTAATATTAGAAATAATTTACAACCAATCATAGTTTTGAACTTTACTCATGCGCGAGAACAAATGCATAACTTCTAGACTGTTTCCAACCGTCTATATGTATCGATATTCCACCGAAAGTGTATCCAAACCCGAGCCCTCAAGCTGTTGTCATATTGAATAGAGATTATTTCCCCCCGATTCAGCTTCCTTGCCGGGAAGAAATCAGAGGCAAAAGGCAAAAAGTATTGAGCAATAGGGTTCGAAACCCCAATCATTTAGCTAGTATCCACTCCTCACGACGATATTAAAAATCACCGTCGATGGCTAGTACCCACTTACTCGTAAGTAGTGCCCAGATTTTCTACAGGAACATATTGATATACAACCATTGAGCTATTTTCAATGGGAACCAGAACCATTAGCCAAAAGAGGACTATAGAACCATCCTGGAATTGAAGCCCCACCCCTATTATCGCATATCTGGAAAATATAAAGATTCTTGCTTGCTCACCTACACGAATAAGTAGTGAGAAGGCCTAGAAATGAGAAATTCTACCGGCGGGCAACAAAATAAAAGGAGTTCTTCTCCTTCATACTTTATCGCTTTCCATTTCTCCTCCACTATCCCCCATTAGATCACTGTGGTTTCTTTCCGTCTCTCATCTTTCACTCCTCATCCCACCAAAACCCAGCATCTAGCATCCAAAAACTCCAAACATCGCAAAACCCCAACCTACCACAAACTGCACATAACATGACACTAACCCTTCCCCTCCCTTCCCCTTCTCCCTTCTCCCTTCACCCTTCACCCTTCCCCACTCAAACTTTTAGTTTGGCTTTCTCGCTTATGACATGGTATATCTTGTTACACTGCACTGTTATACAAGACTCTCCAAATAGCAAATATCATACCAATCACCAATCATTCAATATATCAAGACTCGATAGATAACTCGACAACAGTATCAAAAGCATCAATCACCATAAAAATCACAGACACACCCAACTCGAAAGCACTGGCTTAAATGAATTTACACAAATGCATATATTTTCATACTAATGGTAAAATATAATATAACCAAATAGCATCATCCACTTATCCACCATAGATCATTTTTAATCGGAAGAAAATTCAATTCCTAGCAAAATGTTCAGACAGCCCCAACGCCACAAAATCTATGCCCGATCCATTTTCCCATCATCATACATGCAATGCGAAAAGTGATATCTCGATTCTTTTGGTGAACTAGCTAACTAGTAATCATCACCGCGACTAATTACTTCTTTGCAGTTTGGTCTGAGGAGGATTGTCTATTTATCGTTAGTCAGTGACCTATGGAGATTAGGGCGAAAGGGAAGGCTTACATGTTCAAATTGTGCGGTGTAAGAGCCCTTTTTGTCGACGAGTGGAGGATAATCTTGTACGATGCCACTGGATACTAATGCGTTCAACTGTATCTCGTTAGATGCCATATTAGAAGTGTGAGTGAATACTAAACTTACGCCGAGCAAATACTTGTCTTGGCCTAAACGGTCCAAGTATCTTCTACAGAACGGTAAGGTGCCGAAGTTCTTGTTAATAACATTGAGAAGTTTGCCAGCTGATGCAATGCGCAATGGAACGTTAGGAGCATCGGCAACCTTGGCGTAGTGAGAACATTCAAGCTATAGATCATCAGCAAATGTAACCAGTGAGTTCTCATACAAGTACATACATCATCTCGAACATAACCATTTCCGGTACTTCCGAAAGTTTCAATAGCGAAAACCTCTCCCTCTTCCATCTTGGTCTGGTCATTGCTCTTCACAATTGGAACACTCTTTCCACCGTGAATCTTCCATTGTAGAATATCATGACCATTCAAGTTCTTAATCGGCTTGACTTGGTATGTTTGACCCTTGATCTCAACTTCGTAACTCTCCATAGTCTCCTGAATATGCTCGCCAATTTCTCCCAATCTCGCATCAATTCCTGCCTCCTTGATTCCGGTATTCGTAGCTTGTTTAACGGCCTCCAGAAGATTGTCGTACATGGGATCGAACGCAATAGTGAAAGCACTATCCACAATTCTACCGTTGATGTGTACTCCAAAATCGACCTTCATAACATTCTCATAAGCTAAAACGGTCTTGTTGCCGGCGTTTGGACTGTAATGAGCGGCGATATGATCCAGATTGACACCAGTTGGGAAAGCGACACCGCCCGCAATGTTGTCCCCATCCTCCAATCCTGGGTGACCAGACAAAGCTCTCACACTATTCTCAATTCCTTCTGCGATTTCTGTCAAGGTCTGCCCAGGCTTAATATTGGCCTTGGCATACTGCCTAACCTGTCTGTGAATCTCGGCACCCTGACGATACTCCTGCAAGAAATCGTTGTTCATGCGATCCAAATAACGTTTCTCTTCGTTGGTTGTTCGATAGTTATTCTCGTCTCTATATTCCTCAATCTCGCCAACAGGGTATTCGCCGCTTGGAAACAAATTCGATAAGAGAACTCGCGGAGGCGCCGATTGGACTTTAGGGTTGGCTCCAGCCTTCTTCTTTGGCTTCTTCTTGCGCTTTCTCTTCTTCTTAGCTCCTCCTTCTCCTGTGCCTTCCCCATTCACTGGCTCCTCATCGTCATCATCCGAATCTTCGGCTTCAGCTTGTGTATTTCCATTTGACTTGGCCTCAGCTGCTGATTCCATCACTGCATTGGGATCCTTCACTGGAAAATTTGTTAGTTTAAACTTCCCTCGAATAACCAACAGCACAAGACCCTCACTGGGGGGTTTCTTTTTTACCTACCCTTCAAATTCTTCAACACATCTGCAACCTGCTCTGCCATCTTGTATCACCTGATGACAAAACCGTCAGGTCTTGCTTCCGATGGTACAAATTTAAAGAATCGACTTTTGTGTTAATAACCAAAGCCCAGCTGTTGGCAGAACGATCCCGGTATCTCATCGAAAGAGAGAAATCTAACAATTGATTTCCCCGCCAAGGTCCCACATATGGGTTAACATCGGGATCAAATATCTCGGTTAGTCATGCTGTGGCTCAATAGCTTAGTGGCTCAGTGGCCCACCCCTGTCAACAACTGAGTCTATGCCGTCACCGGCCTTTCAGGCTTAACATAGCATATGCAAAGCTCTCATGAAAGTTCTCTGCATCCCCCATCATCCTCTCCCATATAATTCCCCAATTCAACAATGAGGAATGCCACTCTATTTTCGCCCCTCTCCCTTTGTAATCCCACGGATTCGACCACAGCGATATTCTTTCCATAGCACTGCTATCCATAGAGATGCTCCTCAGAATCACTACGAGATTTTACAAGTCGCCCCAGACGCTACACCAGCCGACATCAAAAAGTACCATCACCCCCTTTCCTTTTCCACCTTCCAACTTCTAACATCCAATTGACCCCCCATATATCCATATTATACTAACCTCACCCCCTCAAGATCCTTCTACGCCCTCAGTAAACTCCACCACCCCGACCACAACCCCACCGACCCCTCGGCCTCAAAACGCTTTGTAAGAATCTCCGAAGCATGGACGATCCTTGGAACTCCTGCCAAACGTCAAGCCTACGATCGAGAACATGGCGTCCATGCTCATTCTCATTCTCACACCCACGGAACCGCGCATCGCCACCCTCAAGGCTCATATTCATCGAGTGGTCCCGCAGGTGGGAGACCAGCTAGTGGTCTCAGTCGACGACGGACACAATTTCGAGGTCCGCCGCCTAGCTTTTATAGAAGTGGAGGGTGGGGAGAGCATAGTGCGAAGAGAAGGGCTGCGCAGGATAATGGTGCGCCAGGAGCAGAGGCTCCGCCGAATACAGAAACGGGTGGTGGGATGGGGACGGGCCAGATGCCTTGGGGCCCAGATGGAGATGTGCCACATTTTGATAAAAGAGCACACACACAAACACATGATAATGTGGATAGAAGGAGGCGGCGTCGGATGAGTGAACATTTTATTCCGGTGGATCGGGAAAGGAGTAATCTCGCAAACTTCGTCATCCTCAGCGCGGTGCTATCCTTGAGCGTCGCTATACCAACGTATGTTTATGAGAGGGTGACAGATATGGCAAAACCAAAAAAGAGACCAGTCACATAATATTGGCACAAAGATATAGACTATAGAATTATCTATCCTTCAAGGACACCTTTCGGTCGGTTATATTACAAATAGTCACCCCGTTGCAATGCTGTACTGTGCGTGCCACAGAAAAAGATATCAGAATTGCACTTCTATTCTACTATCGTACGACTAACTCTCAAAACTCGAACAACTCTACTCTATGACTCGAATGTAAAGCTTGTGCCAATCTTGTGGGTAGCTTGGTCGAGCTTTTGGGTATCAAAGGAGGCACCAAGACCAAGGGTAGCACCAGGTCGGAGAACAACGTTGTATCCAACAGCGGCAACACCACGGTCGTTGATCTTGACCTACAATTTCTTTGTGTCAGCGAAAGTTGGGGATAAAAAGTGCACACATTGCTTACCTTGGCGAAGGAGAGTGGGTCAAGTCTGTACTTGCTGGCAAACTCGAGACCAACAGAGTTGGTGTTCTTGGAGTCCCAGGTAGCCTTAGCACCAGCCTCGACTTGAGAGTTGACCTTGTGGTAGTATGAGGCGGAGAAGACGCTCAAGTTGTCAGCAGCAATGATGGCAGCGCTGTAAGCGGGGGCAGTGTATCCAACAGCGGCGGAGTAGCTGGTGATAGCTGCCTTTTGAACATCATAACCAGCGGTGGCACCAGCCAAGAAACCATCTTGTCCGATAACAGCGTCAACGGTGGCAGTTGGGCCCTTGAGGAGATCGAAGAATGCGCGTCCGTGGAAGTTTGGTTGCTTGAAGTGGAGGTTGACCTTGGCACCCTTCTTTTGGGTGGTAGGAGCAAAGGAACCGAGAATCTCGGCCTTGAGGCCCTTGGCAATGGTGTCGTTGATCTCAATCTTGGTGTCGAGAGCGTTGAGGGTGTTCCATGTTTGGGTAAGAGTCAAGCCTGTACCGTGGGTATACTGGATTAGTAACTGTGCACAATCGGGTTGTCTAATGACAAGGAAACCACATGAACTAAACAGAGGAAAATGTTGTAAAATAAATTGCTCAAAATATATACCAGTTGGCTTGTCTGTGAACTTGGCCTCCAACTGCACACAAGAACTGTCGCATCAGCGTTTGTCAAAAATCATTTTCTTTCCCATTATTTTCGTACCAGACCACTTGTGGCATTGTCGTGGGTGCTCTTTCCAGTCACTTTGAAGGCGACATTGTTTGGAGTATTCGACTTAACCTCGAGTGCGGCAGCATTGAGGTGATAGAAATCCTTGTTGAGCAACTAATTATTTACATTGAGATTAGCTTCAAATATTTGGCAAACATGCGCAACATGGGGAGGGGAAAGGGAATGGAAGGGGGGAAAAGAGAACTCACGTCGTTGGACGACTTGGCGATATCGGTGAATGCTGGGACAGACATGATTGAAGAATTGATCAAACTGAATTAAGTTGAGGTTTAGAGAATGAAGTTTGAAAAGTTGTACAAGGACGAACGGAGTGAGATTGAAAGTTGAGGACGTGGTTTTTTTGTTCCTAAAGAATTTCGAACCGTGAGGAACCAAGCGGCAGAAGTCGGACATGGAACGTGCGTCTGCGATTGGCTAAAATGGTTATATGCCTGCCGTCTCCTTTACGATAATATAATATACCAAACTCATAGGACTACCTACCCGACTTATTTACAGTAAGTATGATCTAAGTATTATATCAATACATTCTTTAATAATCAAACAATCTCTCAGACTAAACCCTTATAACCCTCACAACCCCCACAACCATCCCTTACTCTTCACTCTTCACTCTTCACAATTCCAACCTCCAGTCCCAATCTAAATTCGATTAATATCCTCTCAGCATTCAAAATCTCGAAAAAGAGTCATCCATTCGTTGTATTGATTTTGTATCCCAACTCCCAACTGCCTCGTCCATCTCCATCCATATAACAAACCCCTACCCCCATCCATTCTCTACTCCCTACCCCCTATAGATCATCACATCAGATCGCATCAGATCGCATCTTCAACAAAAAATGATAAAATCTTACCTACCTAGGTACTAACCTACTAACATACTAACCTACCCCTATATCTATCTACTAGATACCTACCTCTCTCTTTACTTTTACGAATCAAATCAAATCAAAGTACAAAATCATGCCTCTCTTGGTTATAAATAAAACCGAAAGATCTTTATTTGATGCAACACTACATTACAATCAATCTTCGAATGAACTTCAAGATAAGTCAATTAATATACTATATATTTCTCAGCAAGTGCAAGATGGAATCAAATCACAGTTTCTCAATGGCATGAATTCGAACCTTGAAGGGCATGGTGCCCAAGACAAATCAAGCCAAACCGAAACATAACAAACAGTAGACTCATGACATACAACCCCCAAGCACGATAATACGATTTGAAACGTCAATTGAAAGCATAAGATATTCTATCATTTCATGGGGAGTCAACTATCTATCTATCAATGATTTCATATCTAACTCCACAATCATCTTTCTAGAGCGGACAGTCCAAGATTGGAGTCCAAAGATCGTCGAAATATTAGTCATCATCATTCTTACGTTCCAAAAAATACCCAATGTTGAGAAGCAAATCCTCAAATTACAATTACTCGTCATACTTTTCGTTGTGAATGGCAATCGCTCTTCCACTGGGGTCGGTCTGTTTAGACCAGGTTGGAGTCCATCGCGAGACACTCTCAGCGCAAGATGGTGGGAAGTGTTCATCGAACATTGTTCGGTACCAGTAACTATTGATTCTATCAGTATTTCGAAGGTCATTGTTAAGATTGGAAAGGAAACTCACGCTTCCTTAGTGTCTGGAATATCAGAACCCCATTCCGGCTTGGGGTTCTTCATCATCTCGTCAGTAACGTGAAGTTCTGCGTTATCCTTGAGAGAATCAATCCATCCGTAGCCGACACCGTCACTGAATTGCTCCTTTTGTCTGTAAAGGATGTGTTTTGGAAGGTATGGTTTCACGCTTGGATCATCTGATGTGTCAAAAGCCTTTCGGAGAATATACTTCTCAAGACGATCTTTGGTAATCATCTTCTCTTGTGGATCGATGTTCATGGATACTTCGAGGAATTCCTTGTCAAGGAAAGGAACACGAGCCTCCAATCCCCAAGCGGAGGTCGATTTGTTGGCTCTCAAGCAATCAGACAAATGCAAGTCCTTGATTCTGCGGACTGTCTCTTCGTGAAGAGCGGCCTTATCTGGCGCAGCGTGGAAGTATAGATAACCTCCAAAGATCTCATCACTACCTTCTCCACTCAATACCATCTTGACACCCATAGCCTTGATCTTTCTCGAGAGAAGAAACATAGGGGTGGATGCACGAATTGTTGTTACATCATAGGTTTCCAAGTGGTAAATAACATCAGACAGTGCGTTCAAACCATCATCAATGGTGAAAGTCATATCGTGATGTTTAGTACCAAGGAATTTGGCTACTTCTTTAGCGGCCTTGGTATCAGGCGAGTTTGGTAGACCAATAGAGAAGGAGTTCAATTGAGGAAGATAAGTCAGAGTCGACAACTTGTTATCGTCATCAATGCCAACAAGTCCTTCCCCTTGGTCCTCGTTAGCCGTTGGTGTCGCAGTTCCGCTTCCGTTCTCAATTGCAGCAAGCGTAGCAGTTTTCAGGCGCAGAGTCTCTCTTTGAGCAATGGCAGCCACCAAACTCGAGTCGAGACCACCGGACAGCAGAACTCCGTAAGGGACTTCTGCCATGAGACGCTTACGAACAGCCATCTCGAATGTTTCTCTCAAAAGTGTGTAATCTATTGGTGTTGATGGCACGTTGGCAGGATCCCACCATGATGGCTCGAAATATCTGGTTGTCTTTTCGGTTTTAGAATCATAGATGTGACCAGGGGGGAAAGCAATGATCTTGTCGCAAACAGGATGTAAACATTTCAACTCGGAGGCGAAGTATACGGCTCCTGGTGTTTTGCTAGACCATCCTTGGTAAAAACTGGTAATACCAATTGGATCGCGTGCGGCAATTGTGCGATCTTGCTTCTTGTCGTATAAAACAAACGAGAACATTCCGTCCAAATGTTTTGGCGCATCAATGTCATGTTCCATGTACTACCCAATGTTCAGTTCCTGTTCCAAGCCTTTCTTTTCGAGTTTCTCACCAGTGGTATTATGACTTCGCAATCGGAATGTGTCTTGAAATGATATTTGTTCTTGAGTCCCTTGCGGATGACTCTGTGGTTGTAGATTTCGCCATTGACTGCGAGTACGAGAGTGTCGTCTGAGTTGGTAATTGGTTGCGCACCACTTTCTATATCATTGTGAGTCTTTGCATATTAATCCAGATTCCAGAGGTGATAACTTACCAACGCCAACAATACTCAAGCGCTCATGCGCAAGAACTACAATCGATTGATCAGCCAACCCACCTCTAAATGCTCAATCACCCAAGGCGCAACCTACTGGTGTTGTTGGAGATAACGTTTCCACCTAAGTATCATCAGTCTCAAGTCCCAAATCCAAATGTTTTGTCCATAGGGTGACTCACTCCAATCTGGTCCACGATGACGAACTCTACATTTTCGCAAATCAGCTTTTCTGCCTCCAATTCCAATTCCTTGATTCAAAACAGAAGTTACTCACTGCTTCGCCATTCGCAAGGCCGTTGGCTTAAAAGCCTTGACATCGGGGTGACTACACAATTGTCAATTCTCAATATTCAATCGCGGGGCCCCCACCATGAGAAATCCCAATTCCCATCTCATTATATTATTTCCCAATTGTATTGGGAGAAAGCGGTAGAAAGAATACATACCAATGACACGCAAAAATACCACACATCTTGAATACGGATATGTAAAAATCCTTAATGTGAATAAGTAGGTATCGAAAAAGTTGTATGAAGGAGGAATATATGTGGAAGGGGAGGGAGTGAGTAATAATATCGAGAACAGAGCTCTGTGCTCTTCTCTTGGCTCAAAATTACAAAATTCCTTTAGTGTATGGCCGAAAATCGGCTGTGGCAAGGATGCTTGGGGAAGGCTGTGTGGCTTTGAGTCCTGTGTCTCACTGATCGCGATTTCTGGGGAGCCAATTGGATTGCAGGATTTTTTAATGTTGAGTTCAGTGGCTTTTGCTGGTGAGTATCCCTTCTTGGATGCTTGGCGAGAGGATACTTGGAATGGTTGTAGGGAGTTTCTGGTAGAGCTTCCGGGCTTCTTTACGGAAAGACTCTGGGATAAGGAAAGAGAATAATAGAATAAGTCATGGCATAACAAACGGATTTTGTACTCTCATAATTCGCAAAGATCACTTTTCTATTTTTCTTCATGTTCCATTGAATATAGTAGATACCATAAATCCAGGATACTAGTTAGTTCTTTGACCAAAGCGCTGCATCGAAGTAAAGTGAAGTAAAGTCTTCCTCTGCTGGAACGCCCATCTTGATATCCCCATATGATGTGAAATGTTATGTGTCCGATCAACGCCAATACTGCCCACTAAATAAAACCATCGCCCTTACCATCTTGTCTACAAACACTTTGATCACCTAAGGAGCTGGGTTGTCCCTCACGATGCGCTTGATCTTGGTCTCGTAGGCAGCCTTGTCTTTCTTGAAGAGGTTGTAGGCGTCGGCTTGGGCGGGCGAATCGGGGTTAGGGGTATCGAGGAGTTCTTGGATGCCGAGGAGGATTTGCTTGATGGTGATGGCGGGTTTCCAGCCTTCTTCTTCGTTGAGAATGGAGAGACAAACGGTTCCGGAGGGGTAAACGTTGGGGTGGAAGAGGGGTGGTGTGAATTTGCCTAATCGTCTGTTAGTTCTAGACCGAATGCTGAACATCAGAGTAAGAATGCATACACTTTGGGGGCTTGGTTGGGTATTCTGATTATTGTATATTAGCGCAAACACATAGAATCAATACCCTGGGTAAAATGACTCACCATCCGGGAAGATAACGCTCAGTTTGAAAAGACCGCCCTCCCATAAGGTATCCTTCTTGCCTGGTACGCCGCACTCCCAAGTCTTCATATCGATAGTATTCGTAGCGGGGTTGCGAACAGGTTTGGCAGAGAATCCAAAGGGATGGTCCTTTCGCCATTGCTTACTATAAGGTCTCGTTGTTAGTCCCTATATTTAATTTACAAGGTGTGCAAACAAGCCATACCGTTCTTCCGCAAGGCGGTTAAGACAGAGAGTCATTTTAGAAGTGAGGCTGGGGTCTAATATTTCACGAATGCGCAACTCCGGTATTAAATGACCTATGTTAAAATGCTATCGAAATACTAGGTAGATTCGAAGCTAGAAAATTAATGCGATTTTTGTATTTCTACGAGTTGCAGAAGAACAAACTGCTATGGAAAGGTTTGGTGGTCGCTACGAAGCTCACGATTGTGAATTTATTGGAAGAGTCGAGACAAGCCAAAAGAAAGAAGCAATTCACTAGCGCGGTATATCCTTGTCGTCAACCAATGAATGTGACAGCCTCGGCCTAATCAACCTTCTGTGATCTTCATGCCCAAAGCAAATCGCAAAGATATTTTAAAACTTCGATTTTGATATTCAGATACAGTATATGATACAGTATATGAAGCTTGAGTTGTCGCTAAATTTCACATTATCTGGCCAATACCGTTTCCGGCGCATATCATACCCCGCACTTTCCACATACTGGCCTGACCATATTCATTCCGGCTACCATAAGTATACCCACCCATATTTGAAGATCCCAGCAGAGGGTTGTTAGAGTTTCCTCTCGCATCTATCAACCATGGAGTCGAAACTAGGGGATCTCGTGGGACTGGCAGAGTCCTCGACAAAGGCTTTGGTCAATAAATCAAATACAGCTTCTGAAACGCAAGTCGTGGATGCGGCTGCTGTATGGGAGGATGTTCCAGATCCGGATGAAGACGATTTGGATGATTTGGATGATTTAGATGGTACATGATTATAGTCTCTGCTGCTAGCTGTGGAAAGGAGATTCTGATTAATTCTTAGATCTGCTCGATGAGTTCAGCACTGCGAAACCAGAAACGAAAGCACCGGCGCCAGTATCCACCGCAGCAACCATTGGTCCTAGCAGGCCACCCGTCGCAGACAATTCTCTCCCTGAGGGAGGTGAAGCACTACCTGATGATGATTTTGCAAAGCAATTACAGGCGGGCATGGCAGAATTGATGGGAGAACTCGAAACATCTCCGGAAATGCAGGCACAGTTTGAGAGTATGTTGAAAGAGATGGGTGACCTTGAGGATACGGGATCCGCACCTCCGCCGCCATCTGCGCCAAAACCTGGACCTGCGAAGAGTAAAGCGACTGCCGTTCCGGCTGGGGAAGAATCTTTCCAGGAAAAGATTAAGAAGAATATGGAGAGAATGCAAGCTTCAGGGGATCAGGCAACGGCTGCTGCTACGGAGGATAATTCGGATGATTTAATGGCGGAAATGATGAAGGCTATGCAGGCTGGTGGGATGGATGGTGAGGGCGGCGAGGAGGATTTCTCAAAAATGCTTCTGGGTATGATGGAGCAATTAACCAATAAGGAGATACTATACGAGCCGATGAAGGAATTAGATGACAAATTCCCGGCATGGCTGGAGAAGAATTCTGCGAGTACGCCTGCGGATGATCTGAAACGGTACAAGGAACAACAGGTATTTGTCAGAGAGATCGTGGCTAGATTTGACCAGAAGACATACAAGGATGAGAATGCCGCGGACCGGGAGTACATAGTGGAGAGGATGCAAAAGGTATGTACTCGATGTTCTATTATATCGCGATGTGCTGCTAATTACTTTACAGATGCAAGCAGCAGGTTCACCACCCGCGGATCTAGTTGGAGATATGGCTGCAGCCCAAGAAGCTTTTGCGGCTCCTGAAGAAGGTTGCCCGACACAATGAAGTACCCATATCTCAGTAGACGTACCTTGTGTATATTGACAAATCAGTGATGTCATGACCAACAATCTCAAACCCGAACACCTAATAGTCCGACCCATTTACCATATCGAACCCCGATCAAACATGTCCTAGCCGTCCAAAACACCAACGCTAACAAAAATTTCCCAGTTTATTTTAAACAGTGTCATGTCAGTATATACCAATATTTACCAAAATCAATTCATATCCACATCCATATCCATCATCTCACAATCCCCTTGCACATCCGTGGACTGGAATCCTTGATTCAAGAATCCCGATTCCTGTTGTATGACATCCTTGAAAATGGCATCGTAATCGCCATCGTCACTACCAAAAGGTGTGTCGGGCAACGAAGCATTGATCTGTCGTTGCATATCCATAACCGTAGTATCGTGTTGGCCTAAAGAATGTTGGATATCTCCTCGAGCCCAGGCCGCTGCTTCCCTCTCATCGATGGGCCCAGTTTCTTCGTCGAGTATCGAGACATTCTCATATGCCTCGTCGAGAGTTTGTCGTCGTTCGGCTTCCGTCATGCATGATAATAAAGCCTCTAATTCTGCTTCCTCGTTTCGTGCCAATTCTTCGGCCATGACCTCATCTGAAATCATCCGTTAGCCCACTTCATGCGAGCCCATTCATAAATAGCAATTCATGTAGAAGTAACATACCAAGACTCATATTTTCAGCACCATCATCCAGCTGCATATCCTGTTCATCATGCCCGTCCACGTCCACGGCCCAACCCTGCGCATCCCTAGCCTGTCTCTCCGCTCTCCTCCTCTGCTCCGCAATCCAAATCGTCCTCATCATCTCATCATCCCCCCCTCTCGCCCTCCACCTCTTCTCCTCCGAATCCTCCCTAACCTTCCTCAAGAATAGTTTCCTCCGTGTCTCCCTCCCATCACCTTGTCCATGCAACAACGGATTCGTCTTTGCAATCCTCTTCGCATACGCCCCTTCCCTATTCGGCGACTGTCGATTCGAATTCGATTTCGTGTTTGAACAATTCCTATCCGCACTAGAAACTTTAGACGAAAAAGACGCTTCAGGCGACATCATAAAACCCATGGGATAATCTCCTCCAACAGCTGGTACCCGCGTGGGCAAATTCGCGTTGCGGGGCTCGAGAGGCGATACGGGCGACGAGGATCGTAAAGGTGATGAGGATAATGGCGATGGAACATGAGATGGATAGTGATGCATTTGCTTGTGTGCGCTAATGGGTGTCTGCATCATACTGAACATGGTGAGAAATTGCTTTGTGGTGGATGGGGAATGCGAGGGAAGGTTGATCTTCATAACCCTAACCGATTATTAAACTAAGATAAAGCGCGCCTACCTGGCGGTGGCGGACGTGACCCGCGTAGATGATCCGGACATTTGATTCTCCAATTACTAGAGCGATTGACGGATATTAGATAAGCGAGGTTGTTCTAGATGTCGAATTGATTTTTATGGCTGTGTTTATGTGACCTCAACGTCTCAGTACCAACATCATGGGATAACGAATTTTATGTTGGAATGGTTGCTATATTTTCCTTAATGTTGTTTCTCAAATCATTTTGTTCATTGTTTCGAAAAATTTCTCATGTGTTAGGTTGATACAATTATTGATTAACATTATACTTCATTATCTAATTTTGAATAAACAAGAGAGATCCGCAATAACACCATTAGATTTTAGATCATCTACTATTTAAAGAAACCCTTCTGTATAAACCTGCGGAGTGCGGCTCGACAACTCAGTCGTGACACATACCCTTAATCTCATTGCCATTGCGAACAATATTACTACTCAGCTTTCGGGGAAAGATAATTATCCAACAGACCATTGTAGACAGGTCACAGTGGTGGCCTTTTGCCCCAAAATTCGAACCGACCTAGCTGTGTAACGAGCGGTTTCGATACGATGAGCGCTTGGTCAGTATCTGTTCGAGCAAAAATCCCAAGGCGCTTAATTGGGGGGCGATGTGGAAAATTGGCGAAATTTTGGGGTGTAGAGAGTACATCTCGAATTTGCGCTGCCGCAGATGACTATGTTGGATGGTTTCGGTCCTTGGTAGGGTTGTAGGATACGGACCCTCGTACTTAGCGTAGCAACATGATGCCATCTTCTGGTGAGGTGAAGGACTTCAATCCTTCGGGATGTCGCTTACTCTAAATGTAACATTTGCTTCCAACACTTCGAAATTATTTATCTCCTTGGCCTCTAGCGGTTGGGTTGTTGTATGGACTTGTTCTTGACTGATCGAGTAATCATATAGACCTTGGAGCTTCTTGTTCCACACATGGATATCTTTGCATACAGGACGCGCATGTTCGGATCGGACACTCAAGTCGATGGATCAAAACTTTATCGGCGTCAGCTACTCGCTGGAATTGATTCGGACACGATATACGTACAATGTGTTACTTTCATCCGGGGAGCCATAGCAGCAGGTTTATTCCCTCTTTCCATTGACCTTTGCCTTTTCTGCCACTTTTTTCATGGGTAATCGTCTCGACTTCTGAACTCTGCCGGAGCGTAGACTTCTGGATCCCGAGAGCTTGGTGGGTTTAGATTTCTCGGACTTTGACTTTGAATGCAGCTTTCTTTCCGATGATCCACCTTGGTCCTTTTCCGAAACCTCCACCATCCTCATCTCTTCCGCCAGTGTACTTGCAAATGCTTGAATATGTTCCGGTTCAAAATATGGCGAGAGTTCCCTACCACGATAGAACCGCACCCCCTCTACCACCTCTACCACCAAATTTTCCATTCCTCTTATCTTTCTCAATGCGGAAGCACCTCTGGCCGTCATTAGATCTCTTTGTGGCTGCCTACTGCTAGACATTGTTTGCCTAGAAACCGCTATCTGAAGGCTTCTCAATGCTTTACATTCGCCAAGCAACTGGAAAGCTTCCGAAGTTTGACAACCAGCAAAATGGAAATGCACTCGTCGAAGACATGCTCGCCTCTGTGTTCCAATCATATATAGGTAACAATATAAATTGCAACAACCTATGAACGAAAATGTGTTTTCGCCGAAAAATATTTCAATTGATTCATCGTAAAGCTGTTCACAGGTTCGCGCAAGTATGAGTATGTCTTCGGAGTCTGGCTGGAACCGCCTCTCAGGATCGATCTCTTGCAACTGAGCGTGCTCGAAAAGAAGCCCAACTCTAGGCATAATCATATCATGTGGTCTTTTGTTGTGGTCCTGAGAAAGCCTCGCATTCGATTGTTTGTTCAGCTGCCCCCATTGGACATATCGACTGATTTTATCTCGGATTTCGCGAGGAAGGGAGAGGAGGTGACACTTCTTGTATACTTTGCGAAGGCGTGGAGGCATTGTTGATGAATGCTTGAATATCCTTGATGTGAGCAAACGAAATGATTATTTATTGCATACAAAGTTTTACTATTGTATAGAAAAATGGAGTTCGACTGATCCAGAAAAGGGAGGTTGAAGGAAGGTTCGTTGGAATTTAGGTAGACGCGTCGTTGTTTGGAAGTACAAGGTATGCGAGATTATCGCCATGTCACGTTTTATGTATGTTTCCATAATTTCAACTTTTTCACGAATTTTCATTTCAATCTCAAAATAATTATTTCAATAATAAGTTTAACTTATTTAAATATTGAAAAATATATAAATAGTGTGACCAAAAGGGTATAAACAGGACTCCGATTGTGTACTTAGAATCTACAAGTGAAGAGCTATGTAGGATGCTAAAAGGAGGACTATATATACAGGTATTGGGAGCCATAAGGGCTAGGCCTAAAAGGGTGAAAGAGACCTAGGCATAAAATGCCTAGATCTAGAGCTATAGAGCTAGGACTCTAAGCTATAAAAGGAAGGTCGAAGAAAGCCATTGTATCATACTATATATATAGTATAAACCAGTAAACAGAAAAGAGTTGTCTATTCCGTTATATTCCCGCCCTCCCTCCCCCGCCTTTCGAAAAAGCATGACCTCACGTATCCTTTCATAGGCAAATCGCCTGTGATCTCATTATAGTTATCAACTTTATTATCGTGGTTTTTTATCTATACTGTAAAGGCAATAGGTAGTCCTACTGGGCTAGGATAACTAAAATAATAAGCTTGAAGTTTGTAAAGGGAATATTTAAAATTATCTGCTCTGTACCATATGATATCCAGAAGATAATCTAACCAGAAAACCTAATAGAAAACATTTTTATATTACAACTTTGAAATTAATATTTCTTTCATTTCCCATTCTTCTTCGCCAATGATATTCATAGGATATAACAAAAAGTTAATTTGTCCTGGAAATAGATCTTCCGATACAAAACAAAAATTTTCGGAAGGAAACACATCAAATATATATATTATTACTGGGAGTGCAAGTCGGTACAATTATCCAATTTTCTCTATAATCTCATATTTGTCAATAATAGGAAAGTCAAGCTTACAGAAAGAACATTGAGTTTTATAATATCGAGAGTCTAACCATACTATATCACCTACTTTAAAGTCAGGTTCATAGCAGTGTTTATTGTATTATTGAGCTATTCGATCTTGAACATATTGGATTTGATTACAAACAAATTCCTATACACCATATACACAAGTAGTAAATTCATAGGCTTCCTAAATATTGATTTTGTTGAGGGAATCAGAATTGTATTCTTTCCAATCCCATTCGATACAAAAAGAGTATTTATAAAGGACTTCGAAAAGAATCATTTGACCCAAAGAATCGTAGGGCAATATCAATTATATATAATCTATAAATGGTAGAAAACATGACAAATCATCTTAATAATAGTTGATATAGGGGTGTAAACATCACTATAGATACTGATTATATATCTCCATTTGATCATCGGTTTGAGAATAATCTATAAAGGAATGTACTAGGGTGATACCAAGTATAGTCGAAAGCTCTTTCCAGAACTTATTGACGAATTACATGCTTCGATTTGAAAATATAAAGGTAAAAAAACCATAGTAACAATAAATGTAATATATGAATAGTTCAGCAAACTCTTTTTCATTATATTCCTTAATACAGGGAATAGAAATGGCTTATTTAGTAAGTCTGTCAATAATGATTAAAATATTGTCATATCCATATTTATCTTTATTGAAACTACAGAAATCTATGGTAATATATTGCCAAAGGCGTTGCGGTATACTGAAAGGTTTCAAGAGTTCTGGTTTCTTGTCACGAGGAACCTTAAAACAGTGGTATATCTCACAATTGCGAATGTAGCAAGCAATATTATTTCTTAATCCTCTTTAGTAGGCTGCGCAACGGGTACCCGCGGGGCGGATTATTGGCCTGGCGGGTCCCCCCGCGGGTCCTCCGTTTGCGGGGCGGATAATAGAAAAATCTGAATGGGGACCCGTTGGGTATCCGCTGCAAATACTCCGCAGATATAAATTTTATAAGATTTATAATATTA